ATTTTTTTGTTCAATAATAAATGTGAATTCTTCTTCCTGGAAAAAATAAGACATTCCCTGAAAATAAGACCTAGCGCATTTTTCAGAGCAAAAATTAATATAAGACACTGTCTTATTTTCGGGGAAACACGGTAGTAAAATAATTTTAATATTAATAATAATAATTTAGTAACATAAATTTATTCATAGTAAAATGTACTCGCGGGCCGTAAAAATTATTTGGCGGGCCGTATATGGCCCGCAGGCCGCCAGTTGGACAGCGCTGATGTAAAGTAATATAAATGTATAAAGTACATAAGAATACAAATCTATATTAATTAGCATGTTTTAAGCAATTTTTTTCAATCTTTATCTTGTTATGTAATAGGTTAGTTACCATAGTAAGATCAAGACTTGATTATAGAACCTATCTTTTATTGTCATTTTAATGTAGACAATAGGGTATAACAATGAAGTGTTAATTATGTGAGATAAGCAGGGGGTCAAGGGTTAATCCTGTCTGATCACTTATTCTGTGCAGATCGTGAGATCTGATCTGTAACATCAATGGATGACTTCCTAAGATGTTTAAATTTAGTCCAGGAGTTTGCAAGATTCCCTGGAAGTTGTTTTCCTGACCAGTTAATCTATTTAATCTGTGGATTAACACGCGTAACAGAGGAATATCGAGTTGGAGGGATGCAAGTACATGGAGTGAACATAGGCATGGATTTCAGTCATTGAAGAGACCATATTTAAAGTAACAAAACAAAATATTTAATGGAATCAAATAAAAATAATATTACAATTAAAGGGATTACAAATAATATATTCTGAACCTATCTCGAGAGAGAGAAAATTCAACCATCTAACTTAAATCTATACGCGTGAGAGAGAGTTCACATCAATCTAAATAGATTCTTATGGAACTGTGAAGGTAATATAATCTTGTATTTAACTTTCAGGATCAGAGAGACATTTAGGAATCGTAACTTCTATGGATGCGCTATCACAATATTGTTGACATCTATAAGGTGTCATTTTTTGGCCAAATTTTTTGCTGCATTTTTTGGCCAAAATTTATATTTTCCACGTTTATTTCAAATAATTTTCTACCAAATCCTCTATATGTAAACATTCTTTTATTTCCTATTGTCATTACTCTCTTAACTTGAGTGGCCTTCATCGTATATTAAATGGCAAGTATTTCTTTCGACAAACTGCACAAAGTCTGTATGGTGATCTCTTCAATGGACTACCCGGAATGGCGGGAAAATGTCCCTTTTATATGAGTCGACAGCCTACAGACAGCCAAGTCTCGTGTGCGGCCATTTCTGATTCAACTTACTAGTCGTCGGAGAAAGGAAATGAACTTCCCATCAAAATCGAAAGTTTTGACATCCGTTGATTCGAAAATTTGTCAAAGTTACAAAATATTAATTTCTAATTGAATTTACCTCGTTCTCTCTTTTTCTAATTTCTTTAAAAATGACCCCCCCTAAATCCAGATTCTCACACTTATATAAATATGAAAATAAGTTTGTTTAGAGGATAATTTAAAGAATTGGTCACATTTAGATCTCATTTCTATAGTTGATCTTGATTTTAAGGTAACAGTCACAATTTAGTTTTGAATTACCTAATTAACTTAATACTTATAAGTATACAATATATACTTTGGCATTCATGTCCTATATTTTTATCAAAAGTATTTGGAAATCCTGTACAATTTATCTTATAACAGATAAACTAAAAAATATATCATGGGGAATAGCTAAATTACATTTATCAACAGAATTTAGTACGCATAACTTTAGCTATTAATAATCTATAATTTATCATGACCGTTGTCTTTCAACTTGCGAATGCAGAACACAATGACCCGTAGCTGCCGTAAATAATTCTTGCACCGGGATTTGCAGCCGAGTTTTAAAATAATTTTCTAACTAAACAAAAATAACAATACCCATTTCCTAATAAGTATAGATATACTATTATCTCATTCTGTAAAAAAAAAAAGCTGGAAAGTACTCTTGCTCGACTTTCCTAGAACTCAAATAGGAGGTAAAGGGAACCATTAAGAAGTCCAATAATTTTCAATTGTATTAGATATAAAGTTTAAATAATAATGAAATTTCTCCTTTTAAGATTTTATTGAGTTATGATTAAATTCTCCCATTTCAAAAGATATATACTGTATATATGAGCTCTTTTGAGTTTTTTTTTTTTTTTTCTTTAGGAGGTTCAGGAGACCTTAAAAGATTGAGGCGTTTTTAAATCAGTAAAGTGAGAGCTGTAGCAAAATATTTATAATTAATTTCAATTAAAACTTGTATTATATTTAAAACAAAACAACGTATTAACTACAAATTCTATATCTAAACGTAATTTAAATACTTTACCGTATATAAAGATGTAGTTATATAAACGATCGTATAAAAGATACTTTTAGTAAGCATTGTAAACAATAAAATACACACAAAAAAAAAACGAACACAAATCTTTCAATTGATTATCGTCATCTCATCCCTAACATCACATGGTCGGCGATATATGACAGTCACGTGGTCGTACAGCTGCGAAATTGATTACTTGATTTGATCGATTACGCTCATGCTTTGTTACGTCCAAATTTAGATAATAATGACTTTTACAAAGTACGTTGTTTTTATAATATTTTCGATCATCGTTCAAATATTATCGAAAGAAAGAAACTTTACGAATAGAAATCGCCCAAATTTTATATTTATCTTGACCGATGATCAAGATGTCGAACTCGGAGGTCTCGTGAGTGTTGCGCTTTTTTTTTCCCACACAATAAAATAATTCCGAAAGCTTTTATAATGATAAGTAATTCGGAACTGTTAAATTCGAATTGGAATACAGAAATTGAAATTATATTTCCGTTACCTGGCACATAGAAAGCAAAGTCATCAAACAAAGTTCATATTAGACTATCGCTCCATGAAAATTACATTGTGATTATTAAAACAATAACAGAAATTCAAAATTCTCAACTTGGATTTTATTAACTGCCTATCTCGAGCATTTTAAACTCGAAATTTATTTTTTCCCTGCATTTTTTGGCCAAAATTTATTATATTTTCCACGTTTATTTCAAATAATTTACTACCAAAACCTCTATATGTAAACATTCTTTTATTTCCTATTGTCATTACTTTTTTATCTGTTACGTTTTGAATGTTTTTATTGTTTTTTTTAAATCTCGTTTTATTCTTTTTATTTTGTTGGAGTTTGTTATCTGGGGGCAGAAGTCAATTGTCTTTGGACTTTTTCATTTGCTTGTAAATAAAAAAATAAAATAAATATATCTCAAATTATGGACTGAAGTGTCGATTACAAATTTGAAGCTCGGAGACTAAATTTTAATAGCATAAATCATAGTTGAGAAACATCTCTTGCAATACAGTACATAATTGCAACCAAGGATGGAGAGTCAAAGTTGCTTTTAAAAAAATACCAACTCGGGAGTCGGGAATTGTGTATTTTTCCACCGACTCTCCATCCCTGGTTGCGACTAATGTTACTTTTCTTTGATTGGTTTGCGTCTTATTGGTCAAAGAAAGTCACACATCAGAGACTATTGACAAACTATTCAATATTTCTGTTAAGGTATGTCAAAAATGTTTTATTTATACTTAACACAGGTGTGTACTGTACTTGCTATTATATTAATACAATACCGTATCTCCAATCAAACCTATTACCATTTACCATATAGGAACCTCTACATTTCAAAACCTGTCTATCTCAAATTCTTTTCTCATTCTGGTGACATTTGTGATAGACAGGTTCAATTGTATACATATACACACATATATATACAATTGAACCTGTCTATCACAAATGTCACCGGAATGAACCACAGGGCAGGAATATATGCCCTGCATGGATTAAGATGGATCTGAAAAAGGCTTTTTACCAGACCATTACAGGTTCACAAAGGCCACAGCCAGTAGTGAGAGACAAAGCTCAATGTATCCAGGCTAGATCTTGTAAAATCACTGGGATTTAATCCCAAATTTCCTGGATTAGCAGTCTGATGCCTTTACCCTCACTGTTCATATTGTTCATCTTAGTTACACTTCAGTCTGGAACAACTGGAAATCCATCAAGATTTATATCAATCTATATGACACAAAAAATATAAGTTTACAATTATTAAAATTTTTAAATTATTGTTTTTTGTCAAATTATACTTAATAAACTTTACTCTGTCAAAAATGTTTAATGTTAATGTCTACAATATTTTCATGGCAAAGCACAGAGAATTCATATAATAAATTAAATGAGTTTCATTTATTTTAGGAAGATAAGATTAAATAGCACAAATGATAAATATGTTGTTGATTTTCTGATTGCATTATTATTATTCTATGATTTCTCTGTGATAATTTATCTTCCAAATGTTGATTATGTTTAATAATCAAACAATATGAGAACAATTATAAAGCAGTTTTGGTGATGATATCATCTCGGTGAACATTTGAAGCTAATAAATCAGGATATAAATTTTTTCATATGTTTGCTATGAAAATAAAAGCAGATTATTTACTTCTACTGTGTGCATATTTATACTAAATTGTTTATTTTGCATATTACAAACTACAGTACGGTCAAAAGAACTGACAACTAAAAAATGTAATTCACTTTAATATGATATTTTACATCCTGCTATTTTATTATCATTTTGCAGTAATTCACATTATTAAATAGTGTATTGTTAAAAATCAAAGAAAGTACATAAGAAAACTAACTCCAGCAAATAAATTTATTTTCTAACAGCAACACATTAATCAATAGGAGCAATTATTTATTGTGACATCATCACAATACTTAGCTGCAATTTTTAATCATATTTTTAATTAATTTAATTTAACATATATGCTCTCTACCTCAAATTAGTAGTAGCTTGCCCCTGTATAGTACATCATACTTTCCTTTAACAATAGAGTCGTGCCAGTCATCTATTTAACACCTTTCAGGGAAAAGTTTTTGAATTAAAGTACTATTACTTCTGGTTTGCATTGGAAGTTCTTACATAGTTAATTGGGGCCTCCTATCCCTAAGCTTTCCATATCTGGTCTCATCTTTCATTCTTAAGATTAAGGAAAGACGGATGACAGTGCGAATTTATAGGTCTACAATTTTTTCAAATTGCAGCCAATAAATAAAACTCACTAACGTTATGTAGGCATTTAATTGCAGAAGGTCTTAAGTATAGAACAAAAACATTCATAACAGTTTTCACAATTAAATGCAAGGCCTACATAAGGTTAGTGAGTTTTATTTATAACTCCAGCAAATTTATTAAACTCAGGAATACCTCACATAAATGAAGACTAACACCCAAAACAGCACAGATTAATTTAAAAATTGTATTTTAGTAAAAGTACTATTTTTGAATTGAATTAATCTGTACTGGTTTGGGTATTAGTTTTCATTTATTAAACTTGGTTTGTATTAAACTTGGAGTGAAATTTTAACTGGTGTGTGCTGGTTAATAATTGCTGTCAGAGTTGTATCTCGATGAGTTGTGGGAACTTGAAAGTACTTGAAAAATTGGAATATTATATAATGCAGACTTCTTTGGAGTAGTTAATAAATATTTAATTCAAAATATTATTTCAAATTCAGAACAATTGCTCAAACTAGATATTGCTTCTACTATTTATAAGTTTGGTTTTAAAATTTATATATTTCCAGTTAACTTATTTTCCTTCTAATAGGATTTTCTTGTAAAGGCTTCATAAATACTGGGATTTTTGACATTTTTAGCAGAATGTATTTGGGAATAATTGATGTATATTCTTGGACTACCCAAAGTAAACAGGGATGGTTGGTCAAACACTGATTTCCCAAAATTTCATTTTATCAGTACAGTTGTCCCTTGATAATCCGACAGGTATGGGACCAAAGGTGTGTCAGATTACCAAAAGTGTCCGGATTACCGAAAATAATTACATATTTCGCATTGTTTTGCTAGCAGTAACTTACAATATTCTCTACTCCAACTGTTCGAACAGAACTGCTCACATAAAACACACGAAATGTGTGTCATCGAGTAAGAATTGGATGGGGAGATTCACATCGCGACATGCTTCTGTGCAAGCAGACATGTAACGGGGACGGGTACCTTGACAGGAGGTGTGTCGGACTACTGAGCATGTCGGATTAAAAAACGTCGGACTATAGAGGGACAACTGTACTATGTTTAATTTAATACAGTTCTCTATTAAAACATGGTTTCAAAGTTACATATTAAACTAAATACTAGCACTAAATTCATTTTCTTCTTCAGAAAATGTTGTCTCAACAGGTTTTTTAAAGTTTAGACAATAAAATTAGCACTGTATGCTTCAAATTTTCTAAATATTTATATAGAACATCTATTAATATTATACAAAAACATATTTTAAAATGTCTACAAAATAATAAAATGAAATATGAAAGTTTTGCATAGTAGGATGTTTAATATGTTTTAGATTCAATTTAATTTATTTTATATTGAAAAAAATAAAAAACTATTTTAAGTGTCAAATTTAAGATAATTCTTTATTCTTTAAGACAAAAAGATCAGTATTTTGATGTTATGAATCTTATAATCAGTCTAATTAAAATTATTACCAACCTTAATACACATTTAAATGTTATTATTTTACATACAGACTATCTTTTGTTTTACAGATACCTTTACAGAAAACTAAAAGAATGTTATCAGATAAAGGAGCAATTTTTAAAAATATGGTAATGTTTATTTTTATAGATTTCATACTATAGATGTAAACTGATCAATATTGTTTTTTAAAAATATAATGTGAGACAGATAGATTAATCTGTAATATCCAATTTAAAATATTATTATTAATTAATGTGAAATAAATAACACTTTACACATCTATAATTTCAGATCTGTTAATTTCTGGAAAATTGATAAAAAATTTATTATTATTAAACAATAAAATAAAAATAAGAAGTTAATAATATTATTATTATTATAATTATTCAGGTATATAGAAATTATATTTCTTTATTTTGAAATGAAATATCAATTTCAAATTTTACAAAACACTGATAGATTATAAAGCTATCAGATTTTAATAAAAATATTTATCCTGTTATTGAACAGGACCATCAGGAGGTGTAAGTAAGCCGACTTTTAGGGAGGATCCTTAATCCCCTGTCAGGATGATCTAACAATGTTCACGTGTGGATGTAGAAGAGGAGACGATGAGTATCTTACAAAAACCCATTTATTTTAGCAGAAAAAATAAACTTACACTAAGAAACAAATATTTTCTAGACACAATTGGCTGGTTGGAAAGTCAATAGCATTAATGCTCTTTTAGTGGTTTGTTGTATAGGTGGCCCCAGGGCAGTATTGTTAAACAGTTTGTGAGACTCTGTTGGTCGGCATCAGTGATGGCATGGCTTCGGTATCGGCACCAAGATGGAAAAGATTTGTCTCTAGTTTGTTGACACAGAACTTCCAATTTTCACTCCTTTGTGTTAACTCGCTGAGTGCTTCTTTCCGAGTGCCTCTCGATCAGGGATACATCAATCTCCAATCTCCCCTTTCTGTCCATCCTGATTGGTTCCATGTTTGTCTCTCAAGTGAAAGATGAGATCTGTTTGGGTCCCAAGAGGGTTTGCTTCGGGGAATTTACCTGACACCATCCGTTAACTCTGGACGGAAAATGTTGATGGGACTTTGAATTTGTGCTCATTTTATCCCATTGTTGTCTAGTCTATGACGTCTTAGAATTTTAACGACTTGATGTGATGTCCCCTTTTATAATTAACCTTTTCCCTCTTCGAGATTTTCTATGTTCTAATTATTTGTATACGAGTGCCTTGTCATAGGTCCAGCTCTACTGGAGGACACTAATTTACATTTATTGTGTCATGTCTTACATTAATAGTATTTTTTTTCTCATCTCAGTTTCATATGACTAGCGCAATGGAATCCGATCTTTGATCAGTTTTTAAGAATGGAGGTTTTTTCCTCTCTATTTTTGTTTTAATAAATTTCTAATATAAATGTTTACTTTCAACCCGTTTTTTGTGGGACCTCACAGAGGGGAGCTGTAGATTTTTCCTTGGGTTGGAGAAATCTTGAGGGGCCCATAACAATTTATACCTCTATAAATTAATGCTATTTTTACTAATAAAAAAATAAATACATGTCAAATATATAATCATGTAAATATGTAATGTAATATAATACCATATAAATATATAAACATGTCAAAGCCTGATAATTTGTACCACTTTTATATCTTAAATTGGTTCCTGAAACAATTATAAAATGAATCATCTTATTCCTCATTACTCAGTGCAGTAAATTGAGATGCTCCTAGAAATAGTTTGAACTACACAATACTGTACAGAGATAACTAACGATAACTATAACACTAAATATATATATATATATATATATATATATATAAATTAATGCTGCACAAAATTTTATTATATTTAATTACAACAAATGCCATTCTGCAAAGTTCATTTGCATTTTGGTATGTTACAATATGTGTAACTACATGCTACAGTTAATTTTTATCTAGTAATTTGCCAATTTATTCATAACAATTTAATATAGCATTAATGCAATTTAAATCCAACCCATAAGCTAAACTCTATAACTACCATTCGAAAAACTATCATTGCTTAAAATTGATGTTAACTTTATCTGAAAATAAATTTACTTTTTCTGAAATCAAATTTACCTTTTCTGAAATAGAATTTACTTCTGAATTGAAATTGAAAAGATGTAGTTTTAACACACAGGACAGATGTCAACACATTTGTGACATGTCTGTCACAAATGTAGTTTCCATACCTTCAATTAGGTAATTTAACTAATTTACAATTATTCATTTGTTATTTATTATGTATACATTTATTAATATTGTGTTTTTTAATATTATATATGTATATATATGCAAATAAATATAATAAATGGTATAAAATATTTGTTTTATTTTGTTTGTTACATTAATGGCATATGGATATACTATATTTACTTTTAAGTAATATAAGTTTAATGTGAGTAAAGCAATCCTTTGTGCATCCATTTCTTTCTACTTTTTAAATTTTTTTGCCTGGAACTTTAGGTAATTGTTTTTTAATCAGATGCTTAATACTATACACATCAATTGTTTTTGTTTATTGTTTGTTTTTGAATTGCCTCTCTTTTGAAGATGTATTTTACCTGTCTGACGTACCCAAGGCTTTAAATTTAAATCTAGAGTTTTCTAGTGAGAAATATTCTCTATGATCCAGTTATCTGGTTTTATATTCCAATATGTAATATTTTATTATGTGGTTTAATAGTCCATTGTTTTGTCAAAATCATATAAACTATTTCACCGTGTTATTGATACTTAGGATATATGCTTGACTTTTGCATATAATGCATTCTTAAAACTGTGTATGAAAACTGAATGTCCAAAAGTTGAACAATAGAGTTGCATGTTATAGAGGAAGTTCCTTTTTCAGAGAGCTAAAAATTAAAACTTTAAAATATCATATTAAGGTAGAAAAATTTTACTTTGTCCACAGGCTCCCTATATATTTTTATTTATTTATTTTTCATTTTTGACTTTTTTTTACCCTACAGGTACTAAGAGAGTCTTTTTAATAATATTCATTACTGGTTTGGCTGGGCCCATAATAGAGACAGTGAGGAACAGAGTCTAATATATCTGGGACAGATTGCCCATGTAAAATTCTTGGGATTTTCTGTCTGGATTCAATCTTGGGTTTCCCAGAATGGTAGGCTGACTCCTTAATTGTTTTGACCATCCAACTGTTTGGTTGTATATCAATTACTGTAATTTCCTGTATGTAGCCAATTGTTTATCTGTGGTTAAAGCCAATTTGAAAGCAGGTACAGCCAATACTTTCTAACAATATTTGGAGATTTATTTTTATTTTTCTTAAAAATTGTATTTAGTTTTATAAAAGACAAGGCTTACTCTTTCTGTAGAACTTAATTTAACTCTTTCAACTCTCCCATTCTTTCTTTTACACATATAAAAAGAACTCTAACACAAAGACTATAAACTCATAAAACTATAGTATGAACTAAAGAAGATAGATAAAACACAAATAACTTAATGTAAAAATTTGTAATATTAAAATTACATAAAATTATTTTTATCAATAACTTTTGTAGGTTACACAAGAAATCACAATGTTTTTTTTTTCTATATTTAAGCATAGCATTTTTAAAATTACTTTTCCCTATTGTAATGTTATGATTTAAGATATAACTTTTAACAAAAATAAAACATTGTCAACATATCTTACTATAAGGATTATACCTGGTAAATTAGCAAATTTATTAGCTATTGTATTCATACAAGTTTCTGCAAGTTTGGGTCCTATCACGGAACCCATGCTAATGCCATCTATTTGGCAGAATTACCTTTTATCAATTTTAAAATAATTACTGAAATACGTTAACTGAATTAATTTTTGATCCGACTTTGTCTATCCAGTGTTTGAACATTGTAAGACTGTCATAAGAAATGCAAACCTATGAACCTTATAAATGAAATTCCAGTATAGTTTAATGCAGATCAAAACGTTTATATATTATCTGCATTAAACTGTAGTGGAATTTCATTTATAAGGTTCATAGGTTTTGTATTTGTGAACCGCCGGGGAGGGTGTAGGTCTCCTGATTCGGCAACCGGTTGTTAAACCTTCTCACTGTCAGGATGGATGGAAGGTATTCTTTTCCCGCTGTAATGGACTTTAAATGTTTCGGGTCGAGTGGCGGAGGGAGGAGTGCTTCGGTAAGGTGACCGACAATATACGAGTAAAAGAGGACACCAATTTAACAGGATAACAACGATTTATTAGCTACATAGATATTACAATAACTAATTTCAAAGGGAAAAATCTGAGTCCCTGAAACGCGAAGGACCAAGAGAGAGTTCACAAAAATTTATTCCATACCTCTTTATGTCTTTAAATATTCTTAAGGAAAAAGGTTTTGATATCCAATGGGTTGGTAGGATAAGGATAATAATTTTTCAGGACACAATATTGATAGGACACAGTATATTAATTAGACACAATATTCGTAGGACACAGTATTAAAGTGACGGCGGATGAACGATTCCCCCGAGAAGAGGAAGGAAGGGGTTTTTATAAGTTCGGCGTGGGAGAATGGTCAGGTGACCAATTGTTGTGAGGTAAAACGTACGCAGATGGGTCAAAGTTGTTCCCGTGCCCATGCTAACTATCAACTTTGGAGTTGGAATGTAGGATTAGTTTTGAAATGGACAGATGTTTACTTTAAACGAAAGGGGAGATCGGAATTTTCCCTTTTTTTTAAGTTAGGGTTTAGTTGAGAATTTAAAGGAAAATTTAATTGGGGGTTTAGAAAAATGCTGGATATTAATCGGAAAATTCGGTAAAAATTCCGGATCTCACATATTTTTATGGTAAATCCAGTGTTTGTAAGATTTATTTATTTANAATATTCGTAGGACACAGTATTAAAGTGACAGCGGATGAACGATTCCCCCGAGAAGAGGAAGGAAGGGGTTTTTATAAGTTCGGCGTGGGAGAATGGTCAGGTGACCAATTGTTGTGAGGTAAAACGTACGCAGATGGGTCAAAGTTGTTCCCGTGCCCATGCTAACTATCAACTTTGGAGTTGGAATGTAGGATTAGTTTTGAAATGGACAGATGTTTACTTTAAACGAAAGGGGAGATCGGAATTTTCCCTTTTTTTTAAGTTAGGGTTTAGTTGAGAATTTAAAGGAAAATTTAATTGGGGGTTTAGAAAAATGCTGGATATTAATCGGAAAATTCGGTAAAAATTCCGGATCTCACATATTTTTATGGTAAATCCAGTGTTTGTAAGATTTATTTATTTATTTTTTTTTTTTATCATTTTCCTTTTTATATTGGGATACATCTAGGCTTACCATGTAGGTTCAAATTTTATTTTCAATATTCTGTTAATTAATTCATCTGCCAATGTTAATCTGTAATCAGAGTATGGGTTATTGTGTAGTTTCTTTTTTTAAGGTTATGTTTTAAGTTATACAAAAAAATAGAAATCTGGAAATCAACTAACAATCTACATTTATCTCCAGGTTTATGAGTTTTGAATCAAATTTTTAAAATAAGTGTTCTGCTGTTTGATGAATTCAATATAAATTGTTTTTCTTTCGTATCTATCCATTTTACTTTATGTATCTTTTTTAATTTCTTTATTTATATTTGTTATTGTTTCAGTCCTAGGATCCTCTTTTAGTTTTATGAACTCTTCATTTTTGACCAGTTCCAATCTCTTGTTTCTTTCCCATTCATTATCAACAAAAATAAGTTGTTCTGCCTTATCTGCTCTAAGGACAATTATATTATTTTCTTTTAAAAATTTATTAACTGTATTATACCTTTTAAAAAATAATATTCTTTTTTATTTATTAGTATTTTTTCTTCTTTGTTCATATCTATTATTTTACTAATATCTCTTTTAATTCTCCCTTTTAGGTCACTTTTTACTGTTTTAGGTTACTGTGATTGATTTCAAAGAGTCTGAAATATTGTTATACTCTGTAATTATTAAGTAAAATTATTTATAGTTTTTAAAGTATTTTACTGATAAATTTTTTATGCATGTGATAAGCTTAGTTATATGAAGAATATCTGCATTTTGTATATTTTATGGAACTCTATACATAAGAATAAATTATTTTTCTTTTTTTTCTAGTTTGTTACAACCCCACTTTGCTGTCCAAGTAGGGCAAGTATTTTAACAGGTTTATATACACACAATCATGGAATTGTTAATAATTCAATAAGCGGAAATTGTTCTTCAAAACTGTGGCAAAGTACTTTTGAAAAGGCGACTTTCATCACTTACCTAAAAAAAGAAAATTATACTACGTTTTATGCTGGAAAATATTTAAATCAGGTACCTATAACCAATTCTGATAAAAATGTTATAAATTACAAATTTTTTTATTAAACCTTTCATATTAAATTAAAATATTCTAACATTCTGTAGAATCAATCAAATTTTGATTTTGATTGATTTTTAATTTGCAAAATTTTCCTTTGTTTTCAAATTAATGAAATTATTTACACAAAAATTTGGTAATTTTTACAGACAATATTTTCATATTTGAATAAACAATAGTAATAATTCTATATCTCTCTAATGAATTAAACAAATTATTATTTAAATTTTGTAAAATATTCTTTAAATTAATAGAGAAATAAATATCATTCAAGTATTTCAAGTTTATTTTTATTAAATATTTAATCTCCATCTTCTTAGTTCTCATAGAAATAAAAATGGAATTAAATAATTTATATAAAAGACTAGCAGACCTTGCCACGCGTTATTGTGGCTCAAAATGTATCTATTATAAATGTATAACACTTCCCCCATGGGAGGGGGGAATTTTTCGAAAAATCTCTTCTTAGTGTACATTCTGTTGACACCCTATAAAACGCAATCATCTTTTTGTTATTCCTTTAGCTGCTTGAGTCTTCTCGATTTTACTGTATCTTTCTTAAATAAGATTGAACTGCAGCCTACTGTAGACCTGTTCATGCCATACTGCCCAGCAACATTAGGCATCTTCTGCTCACTCTCTACCTTTGCTATTATACTCTCACCTTTAAAAAATAAAAACCGACGCATAATTTAACGAGTGCCCGCCCTACAGTCTTGCGAATACTATAAAAGAATTGTTTCTGTCAGAAAAATAAAAGGCTGGAATTACAAGGGAGAGTTTCAAAGTTTGGAGGAATACTATCCGATCGGTATATACAGGGCTGAGTGTTGATGTCGACGTCTCCCGCACTCTGAAAAGTTTCAAATTGTTGCCTGAAGACAAGGGAGGGAAGACCAATCGGTATTCATTATTTTACGTCACTTCTTCTTGTGTTTGTTCTGTGGGGTGTTCGTTGTCCGAACATAAAAATCTTTCACAAAAGTGTTCGTTATCCGATTTGTTCGTTAATTGATCACCCACTGTACATGCACTTGTTCACATATCCATAACTTGGCAGGCAACTGAAAACAGGTCTCTTCTTGTTTCGAGCAGTCTTGCCAGTACATACACAATTTGATATATCAACACGTGCTTTAGTTTAGTATTCCCTAACAAAAGGACACATTAAAACAATTAAAAAATGTATGCTTTGATAATTTATTAATTATAATCATCATTATTAATTCATATAACATAATTGAAGTAGGAAATGCCATCAATTTAAACTACTGTATTGTGAGCAAATAAGGATTAAAATGACAAAATGACAAAAAACATTTAGAGCATCGGATAAGACTGATAACAATAACTGATAGTGATTAAATAATATGAACTAAATGTTTAGGCTAAGAGTACAAACAAAATATAGCATAAAAATGTTTATTTAGCTGAAGATTATGATAATTGTAATCAAAATTCTGATTATGGTAAGCAAAGCTTATAAATGTATTTTTACTGTGTTTTGAAACATGCAGATTCTAATAATAATAATAAATAACTAATAATATCTTTGATTACATCAAAAAGATTCAATTATAATATTCAAAAGTTTTAAAAATTAAATATTTTATGTAATTTTATTATCCTTACATTATTATTTGTAAAATTTTAATTGACAAGTATGTTTGTGACTTCAGTGTTGGATATAAATTTTTTAATTTTTCTAGTATTGTTAATCTTGATACATTTGTCTTTGAGTGAAAAATATATTTAAACATATCAAAAATACTAGAGATATTATAAATCTTGAATCCTTTGATTTTGCTTGTTATATTTTAATAATTTATACCACAAGATGGTTTTTAATGTTAGACTAGATGTTGCTTGTCGGAGAGATTAGTAAAAACAAGTTAGACTTGCGTAACTGGTTATATAACAAAGAATACACACAATACACAGTCTTGACTCACGGAAGGTCAGTGCTGGAAAGGGGAGAGTGAAACAAGGTCACTGTCTCTAACAACTCCCCGAGGGGTCAACAGCGCCACCAACCTTTTATTACATAACGGAAGAACGTTTACAAAACATCACGACACAATGCATTATACAGTACGTAACAATGTCATATAACATTAGACAATAATTTCGATCGTTGATTCCAACATTTAAAAGATATTTTTTGTAATTTTTTATGGTATTCATTATTTATACTGTTATCTTTAATACAATTTTGCTAATGTAATTAAATTAAAATATATATATATGCATACTGTATAATGATTAATTTATTTATAATTTTAGTATGGATTTAAAGCCTCTGGTGGAGTATCACACATTCCTCCAGGATGGGATAATTGGATAGGTTTGGTATTATATATTTGCTTTATAATTTACAAAAAATTATTAATAATTATTTCAAAGATTAATATTATATCATATTTTTCAAAAATAGGTTGGTAATTCAAAATATTATAATTATACTCTTTCTGTAAATGGAAAACCTGAATCTCATGGAGATGATAGTTCAGATTATTTAACCACTGTAATGGCAAGTATTTTTAGTTAAATTTTGAAATAATTTAAGTTAATTCTAAATTTGATTATCAATGCAATGAAAAATTCACAAAACTTAATATTTTACTTCTAACTTGATGTTTTCAAGAATTTATTTTCTAGAAATTTGGAAAAAAAATCTATAAAAACTATAAATAATCAATATGTGATTTAATGATAACATTTTCAGTGTAAGATTTGAATATAATGATGAAACTATAGTTGCTGTAATAATCATTATGATAACAATTATAAAAGCCATAAAAACATGATTTGGAATGTTTTTAGCTTCACTTAATATCAGTCTAGTCTTATCTAAGTTAATAAATTTTATTGAAGTGACAATAGTTATAAATTATTTTTAAAATATCAAATTATTTGTATATTTACTGATGCATTTTTTAACTAATTTCCACTAAACCATTTACTGCTAATACAATCCCTAACTCTTATTTTAGTTTAAAATTTATTTAATATTATAAATGAATATAACTATATGTACTGTATTTGTGTATATTGTACAGACTACTAAAGCTTTGAAATTTTTACAATCTTACAAACTACCACAAGGTCCATTTTTCATGATGCTTGCTCCTCCTTCACCTCATAAACCTTACATACCTGAGGATAAATATAAAAAAAGATTTAATGATAAGCATGCACCTAGAACCCCAAATTTCAATATTCATGCACAAAAGGTAAGTAGTAAAACCTGAAACTTTCTTTGTATAATTACAAACATATACAGTGATACCTCCGTTTTCTTCTATAATCCATCCAAAAACAACGGCGAAATCTGAAACCGACAAAAACCAGGGCAATTATTTCCATATGAATGAATATAAATCCAATTAATTCGTTCTAGACATTCCAAAATATAAATCAAAAACATATTTTATAGAGAATAAATATAGTGTTTAGTACTAAAAACAATAAGAAATTAATATAAAATGAATATAAAAGTGGTTTATTTCAGCACTCTTAATGTTGCTCTCATATTTTTCAATGATTTCTTTTTTCAACTCAATTGTGTTCCTGGTCTTCTTCTTTGAAGGACTGCTGGCTCTGGAAGCTTTCTTTCGTCCCATGATGGAGCTAAAAGGAAAGGAAAGCAATGGAATTGTTTGGCTAGAGGCACAGTGTAATAATGCTTATACAAGAAACAATGCCACTGAGCAGAAAAACGCGTGGGTCACCTTTTGTTTTCACAAAATTAACAACCAGTGAGCTCACTTGGGCACGCCAACAAAATCCAAGGCAACCAATGAAAACCGAGGCAAATTTTTTGCGGAAAAAATCGACAAAAACCGAAACCGACAATAACCAAAATCAACGAAAACCAAGGTATTACTGTATATTAAAGGAACTAAATTAAATTTATAAAACTTTTATAATGGAATAAAACTCTTATTTTATCATTAATTTTCATTAATTTTTGAATTTGTTTAAGCTATGAAAATCTAGAGTTATTTTAATTTTTGCTTTCAAATTTTATTATTTAATATAAAAGTTAAGAGATAAAAAAAAATAACTAATGCTTCTTGATATTTTTTGTAATAAATTTTACATTATAAATGTTATACATTAGTATTTACAAGGCTGTAAGTGGGTTACTTTTTTATTTCCAGTTGCTATTTCTTCCCTATTTTCAGTAGGTTACTTTTTGGTACTATTTCTCTCTTAACAAGTAAGTACACATTCTGTATGAGAAAATATGAATTAAAATGTGCAAAAAAAAGTCAAAAAATATTCAGAAAAAACATTATTTACAGTGGCATCATGCTTGAAAGCACTTCCATTTTCACAGATGTCATTTGTCTATGGAGTCTAGAAATAGAGTATTGTGTGTTATTTTATAGCATATTATAAAAATTAGAAATAGAAATGAGTACACTCTACACAGCAGGTATACCTTATATTCACTCAAAATCAAATAATGAAAAATTTTGTTATCCCAATATACCGTATTTACTTGCATATAAAACAAGGTTTTTTTCATTTTTCACTGCTTCGAAATCCTAGGTTATCCTATACGTGCGAGCAAAGGATTCATTGTGTTTTTGCTATAAGTGAACTGTTTATTCACATTTTTTACTGAATGCTCATCCCCTGGTGTTTAAAAACAAAAGTATTTTATCTGGTTGTTTGAGTTGTTCTTGTGTATTGTCAAGAGTAAAGACAAATAGCAATAGGAAAAGCAAAGCTTTTGTTGAATTCCAAATTGAAATTTCAAAATCACATGGGAGCCTGATATAAGTTTTAATCCATTCCCATGTGAAAACAGATGATTATTTGAAAATCAGAATTTGGAGAAACTCATAGGTGTAATTAATCAACGGAGAGTGGATTCATCCGTTAAGAATTGGCAAAATTGGTTCCCAATTGTCCAGCTTTACATGAACAAATTATGTTGCCGGTTTTACAAGATTTTTTCTTAAAGTTTAAAATGCCAGTAATTTTTGCAGGACAATGTGTGTATTTACATGCATTTGATATTTTATTTGTGATTAAACTAAATAAAATTAGAAATGTATTAATAAATCTAATTTTTTTTTATTTTGATCTTTAAAGTCACATCTCGTCCTATATGTGAGATAGTCTTATACACGAGTAAATACGGTATATACAGTATAAACAGATTGATGTTGATGGTGTGATACTGTCTTTTCATAGGAATAGTAGTAGCCAAAAGTAGAGCTACCCTAGACATATGTTTTAAAAATGGACCTCTATTTTGTTTACCATCTACTATCTAATAATATATGTCATTGATCATGCTGTTTGTATATCTGTAATTTGTAATGGAATGCCTAGAATGGCCATTAGCCATTTAAATTAACTATTATTTAAATTAACAATAAATTCAGTATATTATTATTTTCATTTATAATAGGAATTTATTATTAAACGAATATTATAACGAATATATATATATATATTCGTAATCCATTTTGGTTATTTGTTATATATATATATATAACAAATAACCAAAAATTGGTAAGATTAAGACAGTTCTCAATAAACAAAACAAAAAACCACCAACATGCCATGTTGCAAGTATCTATATATATCAAGTATTATTATAGTATGTATAAGTATCTATATATATTTTTTATTTGTAATAGGATTTTATTATTGATATAAATTTATTATTTATACCACAGAATGACACCGCTGCTGCTAGAACACCCATTAGGGGGCATCCCGGGCTACTAGTATAATTAATATTGTGATAGTTGAAAAGAACACAAAAAAGGAGTCAAAGTATTCAATTAACTCAAACAGATTTTATTTTAAATCTGATTTACAAAAGAAAAAACAAATATAAAAACATATTTTACACTATGAGAAAAGTAGAGCTACCAAAGAAAGTATGCAGATTTGTCCAGTATTTTTAGTACAAAATATCAGTATTTTGTGAGGTAACCAGAGCTTCTGATCACTGCATCACATCTACATTCCATTGAATCAACTAAGTTGTCTGGAGGAATACAATTATCAAATGATATCAAACAAAGAATGGTAGATATGTGTTTGAAGGAAAAAAAGACCTTTACTGAAATTGGTAAAATCTTTAATGTGCATAAAACTGTTGTTGCGAAAGTGGTGAAGTGTTTTCAAATATATGGGACCATTATTTCTGCCAAAAAGTCAAGTAGACCACAAAAAACAACACTACAGTTGGATCGTTTGATCACACATACGAGTGCAGCCAACTCCTGTTTGACTGCTTTGCATATTAAATGTGAAGTGGATAACCTGATATACGCTTAAGGACTGTACGAAGATGTTTGACTAGTTTGGATTAAATGGGAGATGACCATCAAAAAAACCACTCATCTCTGCAAAACACAAAAGCTGAGATCAGAGTTTGCACATGAACACATCACTTGGACCGAACAAAAATGGTCCAGTGTGTTATGGAGTGATGAATCTAAATTCAGTATCTTTTCTAGTGATGGTATGTGATATGTCAGATGACCAGTGAACATATGACCCAAAATACATAGTTCCTATAATAAAGCATGATGATGGCTGCATAGTGGTATGGGGATGTTTCTCTGCAAAGGGAATTGGTCCAATTCATAGAATTAATGGAATAATGGATCAAACCATTTATCAGACATATTGCAGAATCAAATGCTTCCTCATGCACATCATTCAATGCCAAGGAAATGGATCTTCCAACAGGACAATGACACAAAACACAGCAAATTTGATAAAGCAATGGTTTTAACAGAAAAGGATGAATCTTATGATATGGCCATCCCAATCGCCAGGCCTAAATACCATAGAGAATCTTTAGGATGAAGTTGAGCGCTGTATATGCCAGCATACATATTTGAATCTGGATGAAATGTGGTCTACCATTCAAAAGCATGGTATGAGACTCCCAAATCACTGCTTGACAACTTAGTTAATTCAATGAAACATAGATGTGATGCAGTGATCAGAAGCTCTGGTACACCATAAAATACTAATATTTTGTCCAAAAATCAGATTTAAAATAAAATCTGTTTGAGTTAATTGAGTATTTTGACTCTTTTTTTGTACTCTTTTCAACTATCACAATATTAATTATGTAGTAGATGGTGAACAAAATAGAGATCGCATTTTTTAAAACGTACGTCAAGGGTAGCTCTACTTTTGGCCACTACTGTATGTCTCCTTATCCAGTGATACTAAGGAGAACAGTACAGCTTGTTCAGATGGTGGTCTAGTGAATTAAACAAAATTATCTTTGTGATTCTTGTATTAGATTACTTGAGCATTGCCAATTACTCAAGAAGTAGTTTTTTGAATATCATACTTGTAAAATATTGATTTCTTAAGTCACAACTTACAGATCAATTCTTTATTTTTGAACAATGCACACAATTTAACAGTTTTTGAATAATTATTGTCTTGAAAAATTATTTAGTCTGAATAACTTATTGTTCAGAATAAATAATGCTATTGCAATTATCAAAGTAATCTTTATCTCATAGTCAGACAGGCTTAGGTTCTAAGTAAGATAATTTGATGGTAATAGTAAATTGCTATGTAGCTGTTGAATGCACTGGATATACCCATTGTTTATCATATGGTTACTTTTTAAAAAATTCTAGTTAATTTTTCATCTATTTTCAGTCTCGCCTGTCACTTGCAGCTCTGTATTTATTTATTAATATAATTTAGCTGTTATCAGAGATTGATTTTTAGATTGTCACTATGAAATCTAATTACTTGGTTCAGTCAAAAAGAAATTGGAATTATATTTTTTTAAGTACATCATTTAATATTTTTCAAAATATTCTCTCTAGTTAAGGCAAATATCCCATCACTTCACAAGATTTTATTATTTCCTTCTCACAAAAACAACTTGGCTGCTTGTGAACTCATCTTTTACACATCAGCATCCAATTTAAAGGTTCTACTACTGAGTGCATCTTTCATCCTTCCAAAGATAAATAGTTGCAGGATGACAAATCAGAGCTATAGATGGGTACTTGAGGACTTTCCATCTTATCTTTTTTAAGGTGATTAAGGTATGTTTGGTTACATGATATCTAGCATTGTCTCGAAGAAAAATTATGCTTTTACTCAGAAGTCCTGGCCTTTTGAACTTGATGGCCTTGACAGTTGGTTTTTCAAGATCTCTGCATAAGATTACAAAGTGATCTTTTCTCATCTTTACTCAAGAAGTGGACAAGGTGTGGACCTTGATGGTCAAAAAAGATCATTATGATAAACTTTGGCTAAAAAGCAGTCATTCTCAGTTCTTCTTCCTGGGGATCCAATATGTTTCCATTCCTTGGCTCACTGCTCATATTGGGGCACATACTGAGTGCAAACTGTTTCATCTACAGTCATAATTCAGTTCAAGAAGTCCTCTCCCTCATGGGAATAATACTGCAGATGTTGAAGGCATATTGCCATTTGCTTTCTTTTTGGTGTTCAGTGAGAACTTTAGGTACCCATTTGGCATACACTTTTCTTAGTTAAGCACATCATGCATTATTGAATAAACCAAGCTATGACTAATCTACAAATGGTCAGAATCTTCATCAACAGTGATGGGCCAGTACTCTGGATCAAGACATTTGCAGCAGCAATATTTTATAGCATCAGTGATGGCCAATTTCCAATTTCAGTTTTCAAGTTGTCCAGTACTGAGTGTCAATTTGCATGAAACCTCTTGACCCATTCTAAGACTTGTATTTTTGATAACACATTCTTGTCATAAATAGCTACCAATTGATGATGAATTTCACTGGAATTAACTTTCTCTAACATCAGAAATTCAATGACTGAATGCTTTCCCTTTTTGGATGAGATTTCACTGGAGGACAACATTATCTGGAGTAGCTTCCCCACACTGTTGTGTAGTAGCATGCTGCTAATGTATGCAAAATATTAATAGTCAATGCTCTTAATATAACCTCCAAATTCTGTTTTTCCAGCATGAATGCTTCCTTTTTAACAAAATAATTTCAGTTTATTTTTGACTGATCAAGTAATATCTATAAATTAATTATAATTTTATAATGTTTGTAATTTATAAAATTGTAATAAAAGTTTATTCACATAAATGATTATCAAAGTAATTATTTTTTTAATTAATTAAAAAGATGTTTATAATTATTTTAGTTTCCAATTTTGCACATTCTAATTATTATCTTATAGTATCTTTGAGTAATTAGTTTTTTAACATTAGTTAAATATTTACATTTAAGTAGAATGAAAAATTTAAGTAGAAAGTCTAATATAATAAAGATACCTGGTATTTACAGGGCTCCATAAAAAATAATAAATTATCATAACTTTTTCAATTACATAATTATGACAAATTTTAATTAAAACAAACCTGAATGCTAAACCAAGAGCTGGCACAATATTGAACCAGTGTTCAATTTGTCTCTCAATAAAAATATTATTATGATATTTTTCTAAACTCAATTTAGATAGTTTTATATATTATTACAAATTTAAAGATATATAAATAATTGTTTTATATTTGAATACATAAATGTATTGATGGCTGAGTAATTATTTAATACCATTGGAACAAACTGGTAAATCAAATTTCATGTTGTATTTACTGTTGTGTTATAACTTCAGAATATACACTAATAAATATCAAATTTTCTTTGTAATTCATATAAGTGCTACAGATTTTAAACTAGAAATGATGTCCAGAATAAAAGTCATCTCCGTTTTACTCTGGATGTCATTTCTAGTTTAAAATACATGTTTCCTTTTTAAATTATATTGAAAAAGGAAACATGTATTTAAGAGCTTTACTGCTCATGAGTTAGCAATTATCTTAAAGTTTTAGTATTTGCTTAAATTTAAAAGTTATTGTGTTCGAATTTTAACATCAAAGATGTCTTTCGTGGATGCCTAACCAGATTTCTTTCAGATGATGACCCAGAATGCTCAAAATTACTTGGAACTTTGTGTTATTGTTTTGAGCTATCCAATAAAAACAAAGTATAGCTACTTACTTAAAAAAATTCACAAAATATTAAAAGAAACACTAAAATAAATTAGAAATGTCTCCATATTTTGTCATGGAAATGTTATTACTACTGTATATTTTTTATAATTGCACTGTTGCCAGAGGGAATATTTTAATTTTTTGCACATTGAGGGTGGATGAGAACTTCAAGATAACATTCTTACAGCAGTGATGACTTTGTTCCTGAGGTGTAAAAAAAGGACATAATGTGAAAACACTTTAACAATTTAATTTAGTATTCTTTTAATATTTTGTGAGCATTTTAAGTATACTTATTGGTAATAATAATTTAAATATACAGTACTTATTGCCAGATTTTCGGAGAGGGGGTAGACTGGGGAAAGCTGATAAATTTTATTTATTTAACTCTGAGTTGGAGATTGTCTCGTCTTACAAATATCTGGGTATTTATTTTACTCCACAGGGTTTTTTTTCTTTTCACTTAGATAAATTGTTTTTGAAATATAAACTTCAGCTTTCTAATTTAATAAAGCTTATGGTTAGAATGAAGCAGTCTTCCATTAAGTGGTATTATCAATTGTTTGATTCCTTGATACGTTCAAGTTTGGGGTATATGTTCCCTATTTGGGGACCATCTTTTGTTGATAAATTGGAGAAGACGCAATTGAGATTTATTAGATCAATATTTCATATTAATTGTTCGGTTCCTGGACCTGTTTTAAGATTTGAACTAGGTCGTCCACCAATGGCTATACATTTAACAATGACTATTTTTAGATATTGGAGTAAAATTTTGGAGTTACCAGATTATGACCCTAGAAAGTTGATTTATAATAAATTGAAATTAATAGGTGGAAAATCTTCGTTTGTAACTTGGTCTTCCTCAGTTGAAAACTTATTGTCTGAATTGGGTTATTCTACTGACTATTATGTTCAGTTCTCAAATAAAAATCTTTTTATGGTTGAAATACTTCAGTCATTAAAAGATAAATATTGGGCTCAAGATATTCAATATATTGAGCAAAAGAGTGGGTTTTATGAGACTTCCTTAATAGCTCCATGGACACCTCAACATTATTTATTGTCAAATTTAAATTATAATGTTAAATCTTTGATAATTCAATTGCGACTTAATGACTATACTATTGTATTAAATAGGCGTAGAATGAATATTTCCGCCCATTCTAACTGCCCATTATGTAACCGACTCTGTGAAAGTATTAAAAACCACTTATTTGTATCTTGTGAAATTACTGAACATTTAAGGGATAATTTATTGACAACTGATTTTGATATGTATTGTTTATACGATGATAGTTTAAGCTCTGACATGCTATTCAAAGTTTATAAATTTTTCTGTTATTTATTTAACATGTTAACATAACATTATTAATTAAGCTTTAATATCTTTGAAACCATGTATAACAATGTTTGTATTTGTCAATGTTACAAGATCTTGTAACCCCTTTGTAAAGGCGAAAGCCATAACAAATAAATGTTGATTGATTGATTGATTGATTATTGCCAGATTTATACTTAAGTATAAATCTGGCAATTTAGATTTGTAAATTTGATAAACATTTTATAATTATTCAGTATTAATTTTAATAATTTAAAGTTTTATTACATTTTAGGATAAGCATTGGTTAATAAGACAACCACCAAATCCATTACCTGGAAAAGTAATTAAATATATTGATAATATTTTTAAAGAAAGGTAAATAATTTATGAATATTTAATTTTTCTATTCAAATGTTATGCACAGAACAAAACCTGTTCAAAACAGAACATGAATAAAATGAAAACCTGCCTAATGGGAAAATTTTTATTATCAAATTCAATGAAAAAAACATTAAACTGTGTTTAAAATGCTTTTATTTAATTGTAAATGGTTGAGTAAGTGTCAATACAATTATCTTTGAAAATTTGAGAACACAAATTCACACAGAATTTTATTTTATATGGTATCTGCTGATGTGCAACATCCATATAAAACAACCATACTGGACTGTCATGAGTAGTGCAGTAGTACCAATTAAATATTTATTTTTGAAATTTTTAAATGATTTTCAGCATGGTTAGATCTTTTTTACATGAAACAAACATGCTGTTTTTTCTGACAGATTTCACAGAAGTTCAAGTAAATCATGATTATCTCCCTTGTAATATTTTTATATTTCATACTTAATTCTTTTTCCATGTGGTTTCTGCTACTATGGCCAATAGCAATATGGACATCAAGCAGTCTGAAATATTTCTTCAGTTTGAATGTAAAATCACATTACTTTCTTTTATAGACACAATTAATTTTCCTATTTCTCCGATAGATACAACATCATATCTACATAAATGCATATTCTTCTGGTAACTTCGAAGTCACTTTGATTTTTGACACTTTCACTTTTTGTATCATTGTCAAATATGCTGATTTTGTAACAATTTGACTGTTCTGATCTTTTAACTCATTTAATTGGTTGTTGAAGCAGTTATTCGCATCAATTAATAATTGCTCCATGATTGTTACTTTTTTCAAAGAAGAAAGAAAACAATATTTTAAGAGGCAAAAGTAAAATTAAAATCTCACAAGATTAACTACTGGTCACATGAATTTTTAAAATTCGATACTAAACACAATTTGCAATTTGCCTTATCACTTAGTCCACAACGTATATAACTGAGCTGGAAAGTATTGAATAATAAGATTGATTGTTTCATTCTAATATAATATGACAATATGCAATTTAGAAGTGTCTTAATTTAATTTAATTCTTAAATAATAATTTAACTTGTAAAATATTTTTACTGTTTTTAGGTTTAATAATGATTTAATTTATATAGAAATCTTTACTTTTTAGATGGAGGACATTATTAACTGTCGACGATATGGTAGAAAAATTAATAAATGTTTTAAAAGAAATGAACATTTTGAATAATACTTACATTATTTTCTCGTCTGACAATGGATTCCACTTAGGTAATCATTTAGATGTAGAAGTTTATATGCATTAAATTATTAACTTCATTTATTATATTATATACCACTTAGATTTTACAAATACGTGAGCCGTTCACAGCTCGGCACACATATTTGTAAAATCTAAGTGACTCGTACAACATGGAATTCATATAAAATGGAATAATCAACAGTGTTATAGGGGGGTCGACTGTAATAGTATCAGATTTAAGTTTGTTTAAAAAAAGAAAAATAAAGAATTTAAAGTAAATGTTCTTAAAGAAATAAATATCAAAATAAAGACAATATGGAAATTTTGAAATATTTGGTTTCAGCTAAAACTGTCTTTTTATATTTGTTCTTGTCATAATTTATATTGATATAAAAAGTTATTAAAGTTTAAGTTTCTAAATATTAATATCGTAATAAAAAATGGAATGGTTCTATCATTAATTATCTTGTTATTGTGTATAATGTGCATCAATTATAAGAATAATGCTTTACTCATCAAAGTTTATTTTTATTTTAAATTAACAAAAGTGATTTCTTTGGTATCAAGAGGTGCTGCAGTACCATAAGCATTGCCCTGGAAATGCCTGTTTGAATTTTTGTTTTATATTCAAATCATTTTTTGCATAAATCAATTTACTTTTGTAAATTTTTATTGTATTCTTAATAAGATATTAAATTCTATGATTTAAAATTTTATAAAATTATTTTTTAGGACAGTTTTCTCTTCCAGAAGACAAACGTCAATTATATGAATTCGATATCAGAGTGCCACTCATCGTTCGCGGTCCGGGAATAAAATCTAAATTGGAGTTAATGGTAAATGAATAATAAGTCAGAAAATAAGATTTTTTAAAAATTAATGTCAGAATTTTTATATACAAGATTAATTTTTATAAAATTCAATGAAAAAACAAATGTACAAACTTTGTTATTAATGTTGATTATAACATCATTATTTAAGATTACCCATTGTATTTCCACACAAATAAGAGCATGCTCTTATATGCAAAACTTGCTTGTTTTGGATTTTGAAACACTTGCTTTGTTTATAAGCATTGCTTCTTCTTAGAAAATTACTGCCAGTATACATTTTTTGTGACTAAACATAAAGAATTGTTTTTACTGAGCAACTGTCAGTACTACATATCAATATTTTTTATTTTATCTGTTAGTATGGCATAACTGGCACACTCCAACTGTAAATTAGCCCCGCTTATAAGAGCACTCTTCTGTGTGTTAGTTTGTTTTGGCCTATAAGAGCACTATACTGCTGTGTCAATGAAAATTAAATATAAATGTACTGATACAATTGCTGTTTGGTGACATTTCCATGGTAACCATATAATGGAGTTCCAATACCATTTAGGAGACTGGAATAATTCAGCAATAAACACATCTGTCAAAGAGTCTTAATTGAATTCCAGTAAGATTTAGTCTTTTCAGCCATATATTTGATGATGGAATGCTTGAATAGAATGATGACCTTTTTGGAAAAATTTATGAAATAATTCTCGAAATACATAAAAAACTTGTTATATTTACTAAAATATAATCAACCAAATTATTTAAACATAAATGAGAACATTGTTATAATTTTGTGACTTGCATGCAAAATCCGACTCCTGACACTAGTGTGACCATAGGGTCAGCACCTCTTTGATGCTGCATCAGGATGACACCACTGGACATCTGCAGACACAGAAGCTGCAATGGCTGTTTATTTTTGTTTGAATTCATTATGCAAGTAGTTGCGTGCATAGGCAGTCGGCTCAGGATGGAGGTTGATCAGACAGCGTTATGGAAGAAAAGCACTCTGAGACAAGTTAAAAAAAACAAATATCCATTTATTATATGTTATCTGATCTAAATACTGTCAGTAGCGAGACAAGTAGATATTAAATACTACAGCGACACCGAAGCGTTCACGAGAGAGGAGAGATTATATTAGATTGCCCTAAATACCTGGAGTTAGAAGAGATGATCATCTTTATGGAATGATTGACACTTGAGAGTTTGGCACTAAGAGACAGTTTGAAGATAGGTGTTATCGGAGGAGATATTTCTCTATCAGCAGAGAGGAAGCAAACTAGTGGTTGAGGAACTGGCAACAACTGCCTGAATCAGCCATTTGTTTGTTATTTTAGAATGGCAAAATATGGCCAGAAGGTCATGATAAAGCATCTCTTTCAGCACTGAGAACACGAGACTCTCTCAGGTAGAAAAGTTGACAATTAACACTGCCGATATTGTATTGACAAAATTTCCTTTTTTTTTTTATTAAACTCTCCTTCATAATATATCTGTTATGATGTCATAGTTAGTCACATGATCATATAGAGATTGTCATGTGTAATATAGTTGTTTGTCTTTTAAAGCAATGGCCCTTTTTTCAATTTGAATATCTCCAATACTTCAAGTATCCTGACGGAGTTTGAATGTTTTGATCTCTTGATGATGGAAGCTTTGTCAAGGAGGGCATGCATATCTTTAGTCCAAACATTTTATTTTGAATTAAATCTTCCTGGAATTCAATTAAGGTCCTTTGACAAATTTGTTTTATTTTATTGTAACCATATAAACTTTGTTTACTTTAAATAGTGAATTGTTTTAGGTACTTTGCTGAATATAATGCCAATTTTGTTCCATTTATAAGAACAAGCTCTTACGTGGATAGAAATATAGTTCCATTTACAAAATGATTTGTAAAATTACACTATGAAATGCTTACAGGTGGTTGAACTTGCATGATTGTTATTACACAATACTTTCATTGAACAATGGCATCATTATTAATAATAATTATTATTCATTATATGTGCAAGATGAAACTATATATATATATATATATATATTTCTATTTAATTGAAGTGGATTTAATTTAATTTAACATTAAATTCCAAATTAACTTTTTCTATTTGACTTCTTATCTTACAGGAACAGTAGGGCATCTACTAGTATTTATTTGTTAAATAAAATATTTAATAAACTTTAATTTATAATTGCATATACTTATAGTTTCAATTATAAATTTTAAAAGGAGCCTGTTTTAAACATCGATTTTGCTCCTACATTTATGGATTTGGCCGGAATCAAAATACCAAACGACATGGACGGAACGTCTTTTGCAAATTTATTATACAAGAAACCAAAATCTTGGAGAAATCAGTTTTTTGTAGAACATAAAGGCGAATCGGCAAAAGAAATAAATGGATGTCCTCAATATTTGAACTCTGGAGTTAGCGTAAGTTTCAATTGTTATATGTTATACTTTTTATACATTACAAAAGTGAGAATGAATAATAATAATAATGAATATAAAGTTAATAAATTTAGTTAATTTTGCTCAGAGAGCTGCATGTAGTTAAATAAGGAGAACATATTAAAAAAATACTGAATGTTATTTTTCAAAATTATTTTTCTATTAATTTAATATAGATCAATAATCACTGATCCTATAAAAAAAAAAAAATTTATATCACACAAACTTAATATATTATGTGAACATTTTGATTTTCGATTATCATTTTAAATAATATAGTATCTAAAAATAATCCAAGTAATTTTTTTTTTACTAAAACTGATTGTGAAAGAAAGAAAATAAATAATCTTTAACACATTAAGTGTCACGATAGAGAAGCGTAAGATATTCAATTTGTGTTGCACGTTTGCAATACATGCTTAATGTGTTAATCATTTGTTTAATTTTACAATTACTGTCCCGGCAGTTTTATTAAATGTATATTATATTTTTTATTTGTGCCATCTCCAGAGGAAAGTTCTGTAACATAGTAAGGCAGACAAGAAGCCTCTAATCAACTTTGCCGTAAGACTTATTTTCCTGAGGTGTGAGAAAGGATAAAGAAAGACTTTATTATGTAGTCTTTGTTTGTTAATTTCAGAAATTATTACAATACTGTATTTATGAAATTAATAGATGAATTATTTTCTTTTGAACAGACAACAATAAATAAATGAATGTTTTAATATTAAAAATATAATAAGAGTTGATATATGAACACCTTTTCCTTCTGTTTCAATTTACCTCATAGTACAATCCAAGTCTGAAGACTGGTTAAATATATAATTACAATATTTATAAATTAATTAGCTAAACTTACAAAAGAAGTTTTCTTGTAATAAAAATAGTAACAGAATAATATAAATTTAAAATTTTCTAGACATGTGAAGTCGATTGTATATGTGAAGATTCTTGGAATAATACATATTCATGTTTGAGAATTTTATCATTACAAGAGAATGCAATATGTTGCATCTTCAAAGATAACAAGGTAAGTATATTAAAAATTTGATATTTAAAATTTTTTTTTTTTAAATAATTTTGTAAAATATAAGTTTCCATTAAATAAGTTTTCCTGTTTAAATAGTTTTGGCTTTAGATTGTTCTAAACCCATATCGAAATTTCTTGTAAATCTTATATTGACATCACGAGAAGCAAATTTATGGAAAAATTTTTAGTTACAAAAGTTGTACTTTAAGATCTTGATCATTGATGGCAAAATCTCTTGTGAAAGGTTAAGAACACATGCAATATGCTTTGATTTAAATTCATTGGTATTTTTGTCTTCACAATAGATAACATTCTTTAAATGCCTCTATAACTAAAAATTTCATGAATTTAGATTGGGTGAATGAAATGGCCCACTTGTAGAAAAGTGACTGCTGACATCTTTCTTAGCAGCTTTTTAACTGGCTTTGCAATATTTTGAGAGCACTGTCAGTACTGAAGTATTAAAATTATGTGATTACTCAGTATCAAAAATACAAGGCTTCTGGATTCAAGTTCTTCAAAAAAGTCATGTAAGGATGAGCAGAGATATGAAACTGCAGCAGTTTTTCATCAATTTCATGAGGATTTTCTCTAGTCTATATACAATTGTGGGTGTTGACAGATGGAAATGAGCCTCGTCAATTCATAAAATGTTCCATGGCCACTCTCCATTTTAGTTCGAGTAATGCAAATGTCTGTCTAACATCTGAGTTAGAATGTAAAACTTATTACAAGATGTCTCCACATTCAACAAAAACAAATACCACTGGTTCCATGTCATCCTCAGAGGATATAGCAACATCACTGGTTACTAACAGTGCTCATGAACAGGCTATTAATCCCTTCCAGAGATTTAATATTCAACAAACTTGTTATTTCAAATTTTATAAAATCATTTTTAACAATCTAGTTGTGGAAATTAGCTCATCAAAGGAAGTGTGGAAAAGTTAAGTCACTAACACAGAAGTAACAGAACTGTTCTGATAAAACAATTTGACAATTAGTCTTAAAGACCATGCAATTCTTATCATTCTAAATGTTCTTTTAGAAACATTATTCCACATTAGGTTTTCTTGTATTTTTATAGAGATTCTATGATGTGAAACCAGGAAACTAGTATTATCATTGCTTAAAATACCAATTTCTCCCTGGTGACAATTTTGTTTTATCATTAATACAAGGAAAAAACTTTGAAATTTCTTGTAAATCCAATAAATAATTTGTGTGTGAGTCTATTTAGAGCAGTCTACAGCAAAAACTTAGTATCCTGTTTATTGGGCTGCAATTTGAAAAAATCGTAGACCTACAAATTTCCACTGTCATCCATCTAACTCTGTTCTCAAAATTAAGGAAGGACAGTCTTTCCATATCTGGTCTTGGCTTTCATCTAAGGGCAGGAGGCTCCAGTTCTGTATGCAAACCAAAAGTTACATTATTTCAATTCAAAAATTTCCCCTGAAAGGAGTTAGATGACTGGCACAACACACTAATTTAAAGTATATGCTCCACCTTCAAATTAAAGTCACAATATATATTTACTTGTGATGATTTAATTTCTGACCAACTTCAACTGTTCATTCTCTTAAATATTTCTCATATATACTACAAGGTGTCCAACATTAAACTTAATTTAGATAAACTCTGTTGTTTAATTTTATTGTAAAAAAGGGATGAATGAGACAACATTATTTATACAGTTCTACTTGAATAAATTATTGTAATATGTTATCTGTAGAACAAATTCAGTTTTGTTATGTTTGAATTTAGAACTTATACATTTAAAGATATTGTCAAATGCTTTTAAAATCTAAATTAAAAATATTTATAGCTATAAAACTATTACAATTCCCATTTATTGTCATGAGGAGGCAAAATAATATGATAGATGTGGAGATGTTTTTGATTATTCAGTATGTGTGAGAGATTTGTTGTGTTATCAGAACTATTATATATTTTTTAACATTATATATATAATATCTGATTATTTTAGTTTTTTACTAGGATTTTATAGAATCTTATAATTTGACTGCTGATCCATACCAATTGAAGAATCTTGGTGGAAAATTTTGTTCAAAATATCAATCTGTAAATAAGTATCTGCAACATATTTTAAATTTGATCAGTTAATTAATAATGCATCTTTGTTAATTAAGTCAATATTTTTCCCTGCGTTCTTTATAGAAAATCTTTAAGTTCAGGCAGAATGTTATACTATGAAATTATATTTTCAGAAAGGTGCCAATAAAAAAATTTTTCATAAATAAATTTGAGTGGAAAACTAAGATATTGTATTTTCATTGGTGATTTAACTTGATACATCAGATCTGCAATGAAAAGAAGTGTTCTTTCTATGCCTATCTTTTAGGCACTAAGAATGACAAGACAAAGCAATAAATTCTGTCACACATCCAAAAAATATGGTTCTTCCTTCATAAAATGGCAAAATATCCACTTCTTTTAATTGGAAGTATATGTATATATAATATATATAATAGCTTTTCCAATTTTCATTGCTCATTAGATTGATCATTTTAAGATAATAGATTTTTCACACTAATAAAATCAATATGAAAGACATTCCTTCCTTTAATGTGTATTGTCCATGTTGAAGTAATAAAATAATCTGCAATCATTATTTAAAAGTTTGTATATCATAGTAAATTCATGAAAAAGTATATTCCATTTGTACCCAATTTTTAAGATACTGTATAAAGGCCAAATAAATTTATATTTTGAATATTAGTACTTTAATCATTTCTATAATACTTGCACAAGAAAATATAATTCATTTACTAATTAATGTTATCTTTACTTCCTACATAATCTTGTCTGTAATTCAGTAAAAATATTTCTTTCAGGCTGAATTTACTATATGCATCTATATTTGTTTCAAATAATCTTAAGATATCTAAAGTAAATATTTTCATCAAGTTTTTAGAAGCAAACATTCACTATTATAAAAAAAAAAACTTTATTTGAAAACTACAACCACTGAAACTCATTAATTTTTCATAAGAAAAAGCATTTTCAGAATAGTTTACAATTTTTTTTTAATTAGATTTAGTATTTATTGTAATAAGAAATGTTTTTAATGTAACTGAATTTACTTATTATGATGAAGTGAAGTAAAATAAATCAAACCTTTATTAAAAATGAGGAGTAAAAACATAGTTGTTAACTTGCAGTAAATTTTGATTTCACAGGTAATAACGTTTTCATTAGTATTCAGTGAAAATGTAATAACTAATTAATTATCAAAATGGAAAATAAATGATAAGTTTATATAAACAATGAATGTTCTCCCGTTTGTATTATTTCACATATTAATAATTCGACTTAATTTTTGTATCCTGTTCAGAAGTATATCGCCTTGTTTGATGCATGCCTGAAATGAAAAAAAAATTTTATTAAATTCTTTAACATTTTAAAAAAGGTCTAATTTTTCTTATCATTATTACAATGTTTCTCCATGGAAGACTAATATGTTAACAAGATATTTCAACATGGTTAGGGAATTATACATATCACATGGTATTTTTGGTGAAAGAATTCAGTTAAAAGAATAGTGTAAATATGTGTTTTGTAAATCTTGGTAATATATACTGAAATTCAGAAAATCATTCCAATTGACTTTGAATCTATTGAAGTGATGGAAACATGAATTGTATCAGACAACTTTATCACTCAAAGAAGTAAAGCTATCAATATTAAATACACATAGTTAAATTTTTTTATATTTTTTCTGTCTGATGTTAGAGTTTATTTTTTTCCAAAGTGATTTTGACATGAATTGCTTTGAATTCTTATGCCATCATCCATACTACTATATTGTATGTATCACAATTTGTAAGATTTTTTAAAAATAAATGAACAATTAAATTTCCTATAATTATTAGTCGTAAAAATAAAATGGTGCATTTCTGTTTACATTCAAAAAGCTACCACTTCCTCTTTACTGGTTCTTACTCATATTAGATTTTATATGAATTTGGCTACCATATTATACAAGAGTTACCTGTATTTGAAAATGATCTAATGTTTAAAGTTATTTAAGTTAAAAAAAAAGAATAGTTAACTTTTATATTTTTTTAAGTAAAAATCCTTTTGAAATCTGTGGCCTTTTTTTTATATCATGAAAATTTATTATTTATAAAGGAATTAAAAATATTAATAAAAATTTTAAAATTTTGTTTTAATAAATAACAATGATTTATCTAGTCATAACTTATTTGTACTCTTTAAAAATGATTCAAGAGAAATAGATAATTATACAGAAATTGGAAATTTATTAAAAATTCTTAAAATTACAGTGGAACCTCGCTCAATGAGCACCTCACAAGCAAAACAAATTGTAAAATAATGACTCGCATAACGAGTGACAAAGGGGAAATCCCGGATTGTGTGCATCCTCCATCTGTCTGTATTTAGCACTCATTCCGCTAGCATCTTACTGTTGCTTGTGATTATATATTTTTCCAAACTTGTGTTCACACATACTACATATAAACATCAACAACCATAGTCCGTTATATAATAAACACGTCAAACAATATGCCAAATTTTTGGGCTATGTAAAGGCTATAATTAAATAGTAGAAATTAATTAATTTGATTAGAAGTAGGCAGTTATGCTGCCATCTCGTAATAAATTTAATGACTGATTCCAAATTAAATTTTAGAAATGTCTGTCATTAAATTTATTACGAGATGGCAGCATAACTGCCTACTTTTAATCAAATTAATTTCTACTATTTAATTATAGCCTTTACATAGCCCAAAAATTTGGCATATTGTTTGACGTGCTTATCAGACATATTGTCTGTGATTCTTTTGTTTTCTGCAAATCAAATTTGTATTTCAAGTTGATTCATTCCATGCTAGAAGAAATGATAATGAGGATTAACGCTCCTTAACAATGTATATTGTATAATTTTCTTTGAATAAACGTTATACATAAAATATTTGAGTATTTTTTTTGGCATGGAATGCATTATTGTATTTACATAAATTTATATGGGAAAAATCGTTTTGCATTATGAGTAAGACTATGGAACGAATTATGCTCATTAAGTGAGGTTCCACTGTATATAAAATTTTAGTTATGAAAATATCTTAATATATTCATATTTAGATTTTTTAGTTTTAACAAAAACTCCATTTACCTTCAAATTTCTGTATAAAAAGTTTTCAATTTACAGAATAAATTTTACTATTTAAAAATGATCTATTGCTATGTTATTATTAACTCACTTGATATTGATAATTTTTACTATCAGGTCTATTTGTTTCTACAATTCCTCCAACACTGTCAATTTTGCAATGCAGTCTACCAGCTGCTATAAATCTAGCCAATTCTCTGAAATATTAATTACACATATCAGTTATATATATATATATATATATATAATCATCACATTATAATTTATATGTATTTTAATTAAGCATTAATAATAATTTCAAAAGAAAACTGTCATGGATGATATTGTTTTAACATTACATTTATTCCACTTAAAGTTATAAACAACAATAATATTTAAATGAGGTATTTTCTTAAGTAATATGTATTAATAAAGACAGATCTGTAAAAATTTGAAGTTTTTCAAATTACTTGATATCTTATTCTAATCTTTCAAAATAAGAAAATTTCAAACCTATCGATAAATTCCACACTAACACCAAATGCTACAGCCATATATTGCAGCGTGAGACTTCGGTAAGATTCCAGTAATTGTGTGTATGCCAAAATCCGCATTTCACGTACATAATAACGATAGTGAGGAGCTAGCAGTCTGTCCCGTTTTAGCATTGTTTCTACATTAGCTATAACAATAAAAATAAATAAAGATGTATAAATTTATTTTTATTTAATTTTGATTTATGAACAAGACTTTATCTAATTTTAAATCATGCAATCATCATTCTAATTTCTGATTAGTCATGTTTTCAGTTAATATTTGCATGTAAAATACACACACACATTACATATATATATATAACATTTCTATTAGGGTTTCTGATCAGGAAAATTCAAATTTTTCTTGTTTTGAATTTTGGAAAAGCACTTTGAGAATCAAGACATAAAAAAATTAAAAACTTACAAATTTGAAACAAAGTGCTGAATTTATCATAAATTTTTTATTTCAATAAGATGAGTATTGTATTGTAGACACTGATTAAAATTTTATCACAAAGTAATGAACTACTTAATGACTGCAATTAATATGATGTTACCTGTGATTTTTTTACTTTGATTTATACTTTTAAATATAATACAGGCATAACTCATAAAACATCTTCCAAGTAGAACATTGGTTTTCACATACAAACTTCATAGATTGCATGATCTCAATACATTTTTCAGCCAATGATTACATAGGGAAAATTTATTTTCACAATAAACTTTCTCCACACACAATTTTGTAAGTTACATTCTGGCAGGGTGTTAAAATCACATGCAGATGTTTTGAAAAACATGCCAAGTTATTGATGAAGTTTGTTTGCAAAGATACATAGAAGCAAAAATAGAGAATATCCGCTGTGCAAATTTCTTGAGACTTAAAATTCTTTTCTGTTAAATTTTCACAAATGTCTACCAAACTCCCTTTGCTAAATAAGTTTTAATAGACATTGCTTCGAATTATTCTTATAAATTCTAGTCGATTTTTTAAAAACTCGTGTACTTTTGAACAAGTTCAAATGCTGATGAAAACAAATTATGTCGTCTCAATAAAGCTCACCTTCAACCCAGCAGAACAGAAACAAATCTCTTCAAATGTTTTCAACCTACACCGAAGGCCTTCTTCAGGAAACCAGAGTTTAAAAATATAATGTTGGAACACGAATTTCAAATTTGTTTGTACGTTATTACATAATCTAAATTACAAATAAGCTATACAGTTGGGAACCTGTTCTTAACAGGAGAGCTTAATGCATCTGAGTAGATCTATTTTATAAATTAATCACAGTTAAAGAAGGTAGTGCAGAAAATTTCCAATCTTACTGTTTCTCATTTCAACAAGAATTCAAAATACATCCCATAAGATTATAACTTCTAAAATAATAAATCTTTCTTCAACTTTCTTAAAATTTAGTCAAATTACTCTGTATTCAAAAGAGAATATTTATTAAATTACAATTTTATGATCAGAAAACAAATGCTTGAATTCATAACACTTTCTAAAAATATTTGCAACCTCCGTCGATCATTCTTTACCCTTTAATTAAGTGATGATAAACTAATCCAAAACTTAAACTGAAATCTTTTCAATTAATTATTTTTTCCAATTTTTATTACATTAATTTTAGCTTCCATATTCAATATATTCATTAATGTCTGTAAACAGTATTATTCAAAAAGTATACAAAAACCAAAGATTTTCCTTCATTTTAAAATCTCTATTTTAACAGATGCATCTTTTAAAGTAAAAAATATTTGAATTTACTTCATTAAAAAAAATGTTTGCCATTTTTACCAAACAGTACAGCTGTGGAATGCATGCCACACGTCAAAGATCCTACTACCATCTCACAGGAGCATTTCAATTATTAAATTCAGTTTATGAAATTAGCCAAATCTAACATATCAAATTTTAAATGTGCTAATGTAATTTGAAATACAGTATAATATTTTGAGAAAATAGTTAAATTTAGGAAACTTTAGCATAACCCTAACATTTTTCACAACTAATTACTCAAATTGCTAGACTTTTTCCTGGCACTGGGTACTCTAATTTTGTAATCAGCTAGCATGTTTTAAACATCTTAAATTTTAATGTGACAGTGTTTGTAACTCACATATAGGCTTTTTATTGTGTTTTAAATACATTTTAGGAAATTGGTAAGAATTTTAGACTGTATTGTAGCACATTGTAATTAAGACTATTTGAAACAATGGGATATAGACCCTCAGTTAACATTTTCACGTAGAACATCTAATTCTTTAGTAGAACAGATAGTCATTAACTATTGGTGTACAGTACTGGTTACCATCATCATTATATGATTAACGATGATAAATCAATTACAACAAAACAGCTATATACAATAGACATATTCCTATATTTAGATTGATAATACTCATATTAAATTTGTTGAAAAATTTCAAAATTTAGCCTAATGCATATTTTAAAATATAAATTATTTAATATTAAGATAAAATACTATTTTAAGTCTATATGACTAATTTCATAATATTTTTTTGAAAATTATAACATTACATCACATGAAGATTCAAAGTTAAATTAAATAATAATGAAAGCAGTTGTAGTATGTAAATTTTCAAATGTAAAGAACAAACTATTACCATAAAACTTTGATTTAACAGACAAAATTTCCAGTCCGTACACCATAAGTGAAAATTAAAACCTGTTTACTTTTAATTTAATTACACATAAAAAAGTATTTTAATAGGTTATTTCATTTTCAAATCCAAGAGTCACAGCTCTTATCTTCACACCACAATGGGAGGGTCTCAATATATTATCATCCAAAGAAATAAGAAATTCTTTTGGTGTTTTGTGAAATTTAAATTTTGTTTTCGTTTTAAGATCATTATTTATTTGTTTAGTTAAATACAATTAAAGTGCAGTTCCCAAAAAATGTTTACTTAGTTATTTCGATTTAGATTCTATACTTGTTTATTACAGTATCAGGAGTACAAATGAGTACTGTACATAAGCAATAATACATATATAGAACTTTTCTGTAAAATTAAACTTCTCGCACATACTTAATTTTAATTATACAAATGTAGCTGCATAAGTAAACAGATTTAAAAATTCAGAAATTAATTAGTTTAACATATGCATTCGGTAAACCTACTTTGTTATATTATGGATTTTCAGCTTTAACAAACATCCGCTTGCCCAAATTGGTCTGTTAAATCAAGGTTTTACTGTATAAATACTTTTTTGAATCATGAAATAACTGATTTATTCCATAATTTTGAAAAAAATTTGAAAAATTCTCAAAAGAATTCTTACTCTTTTGTTTTCACTTTATAAGTAAAGTGCTTATTCATATATTCTTTTAAAAAAATTGTAAACATTGCATTATATTAAAAATAAACATTTTTAATATGTTAAATAGATTATCATAAAATTTATATGATGTTTTATTTCAGACATACCTAAATTTTTGAAGAATTTTTCATACTGACAATTAAACAATGAAAATAAATAATTGTTCATATCTTGACAATTGTGCAAAACTTCCAATATTTCTGATCCTTTCACAACCTGTTAAGAGAAATTTTATTTTATTAACTAATAAAATGGAAATAATATTTTAAATTAGGTATCTTACATATTAAATATAATAAAGAACTTTCTTTCAGTATTAAAATTCTCTCAATTAGCACAATATATATAAGAACAAGCACTTTCAATGGTGTTTGCTCATATATTTTGTTGTCATTATTGTCTTCCTCATGCAAGTTATTTAGAATAGAATACTGAATGTTAGTATATTGAACTAGAAAATCAAAGAATAGAACATAATTTAAAATTTTTTAATGTGCATAATCTTGATTTAAAAAAAAAAATGACCATTAAAATTAGTTCTATAACAGACCAAAAGCAAAAGGAAAACAAGTCTGACACAAGTTTTAAATATTGAAATAAATTTTAAAGCATAAGCAGCCCAAATGGGACAGATGCTAGCTAACACTATAGTGGCTGACATCAAAAATGTAATAATATCCAAGTAATAATGCAATGACCAAGTTCACATTAATGATTATATCAGTAACCTCAATAAAATTTTCAGAATTAATCATCATTTGACTTTTTAACTAGAGAACTACAAATTTCAAAATTATACATAAATTTGAAATTTCTATTTGCAAACAGTATAATGTCAACAAGATTAAGTAAGTGATTGTGTAGATCATTTAATACTAAGAATATTTTACTTAGTTTATATATTATCAAATAAACTAAGTAAATATTTCTGCACCTATGGCTAACAGTATCAATTGTGATTAGCTGACAAAATATAATTTTGCTCTTCCAAAGGGCAAAGACGTCAAATAAGTAATAATTTAACTTTTATTTATTTAAAATTTGCTTTTTGTTTCATTCTTTGGATACTACTATAAAATTTGAAAAAATTATAAATTAAGAGAGTAAACTGTGCTGTCTACTTGTTGCTTATATTTTTATATATTATTATATTTATTGTTTACAGTAGAACCTCTCTAATCCGTCACCTTTGGGACTGGGTGTATGGTCGGAACGCAAAAAAGGTCGGATTATCAGAAAAAGTAAAATAAACAATCTCCTTTGTCTAGTCTTTGTAGCACTGCTAATTTTTCATTTAATGAAAGAGTAACGTGTTTACGTTTCACTCCTGACATGTTGAAAACACACACAAAACTGTACATGAACACACAATGTAAAACATATACTGTAACGAACACAGAAAAACGCCACAGACGGTGAGTCACCGATGAGTCGGGACAAGTTTCTCAACTCTGACCACAGTCGGATTAACCGTAGTGACGGACTAGAGGGGTTCTACTGTATTTTTACCTTTAAGAATAATAAAGTATCCACATACTAAAGCCATGCTTCTTTCATGTTCATCATTTTTTATTAATTATAACTTTATAATTATAAAAGAAACAGTTTGGCTAGATAAATTTAGGGGTTAGATGCTGTATTAATATAACCAATACATTCAATCAAGTTTTTCATTATATTTATAGCATCTAATGAAACTGCTATATGAATATATCATCATTTGAAATGTTCTGGGAAAGATTATACAAGAAAACACTTAATTAAATTATCGAACAATAGCTTTTATATTTAATCTAGTTAATATAACTTTTAAAAACCAACCTTTTCACGCAAGTCAACTCTTGGAAGAGAAATCATACTGCATAACACAGTATAAGTGACAAAAGTGTTATAATCCATAAGTTCATAACTCGTAAATGTTGATACTGTGTCCAAGAAATAAGTTGCGGCACTCTTGAAATCTCTTATGGCCATACAGTAAACACCTTGGTAAACCTTTAATCTATTTCTTCGATCCCAGTCGCCACCTTCCTCTATCAAGCTAAAAACAATATTTTAATATTAAAATGCTTATTAAATTTTTAGATATTAATATTAAAAAAAATAACCTCTTTGCTTTATCTATGTTGCGTGTAATCAAATCGTGATCCATATAAAATAAGCCAATTCTGATCATATGAAAAAGTAAATCAAGACGATGTCCTAATGAAACTGTTTTCTCTTGAGTTTTTCTAAAAGCAGCTAGTGCAGCTTCCTAATTAGAAGAAATAATAAAATAAATATACTTAGATTAAGGTAAATCATGAATACAAATCTATCATAATATTTATATTTAATTTTTAATTATTAAATAGAATGTTAAACTGTATTTTCCTAGTAGTTTAATTTGTTTTAAAAATAAAGATTATTTCAAATAGGAATGGATCAAACTGAAGTTTTTGGCTGAATATCAAATATTCTTGCTTTTCTGATTACAAAATACATATAGGCATACATATAATCATATAAAAAATCAAGCCGTTTGGTTACATTTTCTAAATTAATTTAGTCTAGAAGCAAAGATCATATGAACCTATGTAGCATTTTATGAAACCTTTTTCATTATTAGAAATTCATTCATAAAAATTATTTCCCAACAATTAATGCAATTTATTGATCTTAATTCCAATAATCTGATACGTATAAACAAAAATCACACAGATCTTAGCTAATTCAAGTGTATACATCTCAAGTACAAGTCATTAATAATACACAATATTAGTATCTAGCAGATGAGTCCGACATTGCTTGGGCAAAAAATAACAACAAACATTAAGATTATTAGATTCTTTCATACTTCTAACCTTTTCATATTAAATTATATTATTTGATTTATATAACTACAAATGTTACCTCTAAGAAACTGTTCCATTCACAGCCAAATATCAAATGGTCATCTGACAATGAATCAAATTTGGCAAAAAATGGACCAAATATTTAAACTTGACACTTTGGAAAACCACTTAAATCATCTTTTGTGCAGGCCGGTAGCCTTGTATTTTGGATTTTCCACCATACTGCTGGTCCAATAGAAATTCACGACTGTTGCAGAAGGGAGTTGAAGTTATTCGAGGAAAAGAATTTTTTTAAATAAGTCACAACACACACTAAAGTGCCTTAAGTGAACTCATACCAAGCACACCAAGAAGATGAAAAAGTGTAATATTCCTTGTAATTGACAGTGGTATGATTTCTAATAGCACTATAGATTTCTAGACATTCCAAGTATTGATATTTTAACTGCAGAATCTGCCATACGGTGTAACAATCTTGTTTCATCAAAAATAACTCTGGCATCTTTATTACCCACTCAAAAGTAAAGTATCTTTAATTTGTTACTTTTTTAATGATTTATTTATTTTTACATATTGAATAAAGAACATTACACGGCACATGTCCAAACATCATCTTTTTAAAAATTTTATTTAAACTTTGTTCTGTTGTTTGATGTAATATTCTTTTTTGAATTAAGCTTACATAGCCTAAAGATGTCCGTTCGAAACAGAAAAAACATTTGTTATATTAAATATTTTGATTTTATATAACTAGTTTGGTGTAAAGGCATGTTCTTGTGTATACTCTCCCTGTTTTTGAAAGTGTGTAATCTTATATTGAGCATAATTTAAACTGAACCTTAAAGCTGTTTCACTTTATAATTTAATCATAAAATTATAATATGACTTGATAAGAGCACTTTTGAAGAATCAAAGTAATTTTTTTTATATATCTTTCATTGTTTGATGCAAACACATTCAATCTCAATATGAGAATTTAACTTTATTTGTATATTTTGAAATTTTTATTCAAAAGTTTAAAATTGTGAGAAACATTTAACCTATTCGATGCTGAAATTTTTATTTGTTGCCTGTGACGCCATGTTGAATTTTTGTCGATGATAAGCCTAAATTTTTTTTTTTAAATAATAATCGTGTTTACTGTATTTCACAAACAAAATATATATATTGAATAATATAAAAACGAAAAAATTTTATTTTAAAAGTTTGTTTTAATATAAAAATTGTGACACGAAGCAACATCTAGTATCAAAAATATTCCAATGTAAACACAGAAATATTCGGGATCACCCACGCAGGTCAATGAGGTCAACCTGAATATTTTCGGGTTCAACGTAGGACAGGTTAATGAGTTATTATTATTTATAAAAACTTTAAAATTAGAATTCAATTTAAAAACAGTATTTTGATTAAACACGCTGAAATTAAGAAATACAGTAGAGCATCGATTATCCGATCCCCGATTAACCATCACATCGGTTAACCGACCGTTCTAGTCGGCAAATTTCAAATGTCCGCTAGTGATGTGGCACTACAATATTTGGCTATGTCTTGGCTACTTTAATATTATTTTTACGTGTTTTAGCTGGCAACACTCATTCGACCATGAAAGGGAGACCAGTATTTAAACGAGACTTAATTTTCTAATTATTAGTGGTTGTTTGTTTTGTGAGCAATAAAATAATTTTAAAATAATTTTTAACGATACAATAGCAACGATTATTATTTTTAAAAAAATTTGTTAGGTTTAACATCGATGAAAATTCAACGCAAAGTTGGTTAATAGCGATATACTAATATACTATAATAATAATGTATTTTTTTCATTCTTTTCGGTTATCCGACCAACCCCAGTCCCCAATTGAGTCGGATAATCGATGCTGTACTGTATTAAGTTTTTATTTAGAAAAATACCTACCTTATCACCAATACTACTGAGATATTCTGCTTTTGCTAAGTGTGCTTCTCTTACTTCCATCTCACTAAGATTTTTTTCGGCATCTTCGATAGCATCTTCCAAATTTTTCAATCGTTTAGTATTAGCTTCAGTCATTCGAGACATCAAATCCTCATTAGTTGTCCAATGAAGATCTCTACAAACTTCAGCATAAAAGGGAGCCATATCTAAAAAAGAAACAATTTAATTTTCAAATGATAAACACATCTACAAACATATCTAAATCCAATATATTTGTAATAAGCCAAACAACTAACAAATAACATCAGGCTAATTTTTCATGATTATATTAAATTAATTTCTAATTAATTTATTCTAGAGGTAGTGGTTTAGCATATGAAAAACAATTCATCTTAGCTATGCAATTCACAATAATAAATAATTTATTAACCCCGCAATCACAAGCAGTTCTTTTTTTTTTAATTCACATGTATAAGGATTTTTCATAATTAAGCTGTGCATAATTGCTATTCCTTGAATTTGATGATTCCAAAAAATCCAGTTGTGTGTCTTTTCTACATTTGCCAAATTTCAATGTCATATGTTCTTAGTTTACAGAAGAATGTCCTTGACAGGACTCCCTATGGAAGCCCTTTAAACTTTGCAATAACACAGGCTAATATGCAACAAGTTCAGCTGTAAATAAATGATGGGAAGATTGGGATGTTTCTCAGAAGGGCAAAAAATGATTCTTCTGTATTTTTCGGACATGAAATAAACCCATGAAAACATTTAAATTGTTGATAAATTGTATGTAAATATCTTACAAGTGTTCAAGGTCATAGCAACTAGCAGATCACACATCATTAAATCATGCATAGCTGACAAACATCCATGATGTCATGTCTATCTCTTGTGGAAAACAGAGATTGTCATGACATCAGGTTACTGTCACGTCAGTGCAGAAAATTACTGTGCTACGCATACAATCATGTGGCAATAAGAAAAACTTGTATGTGATCACATTCATAACACAGCAATTTTCTGCAGTAGTTTTTGAGGGCCTATGATAAATAGAAAACATTTTTTTTATCAAAGTTTTTACACAGCTGAATGGATAGCATGAGGATATCATGAAGCACAGCCAAGTAACTCAATTTGGTGAAAAATGCCTACAAAAAATAGTAAGTGTGGAGAATCATTACTGGATATAATTGCAGGTTAATCTACAAGGTCATATCCATTAAAAAAAATTCTGTACTAAAATGAGAAAAAAACTTCAAAAATCTATAGAGGAAAAACACTGCTTTACTGAAGTTTAAACAAACAATTCGTGTATAAGTACTTTTGGGCAAGTGCCAGAAACAGAAATCACGAGACAATTTAAAAAATAGAGAAAGAATTCTAAAGAAATTAATATTTTATTAACAGTTTCATTGAAAAATTATATTACTGATTTGTAAAATTACGTTAAACTCCTGAAGTTTATAGTTCATTAAGAACTTAAGATTATTGATTTATAAATTATTAATCCTGTAAACACATTGGTCACCCCTTGTTTTCACAGAATTAGCAGTGAAGTCACATGGGAACACCAGTGAAAATTGAGACAAATTTTTCAGGGTAAAAAAATCGACAAAAACTGAAAGTCAATGAAATTCCGTGGTATTACTGTATTTACGATATCAAATCCATTTCTCATAAATCAGATTCATTTCTTAAAAAAGTATATCTTTCCATCAATTCTAATAATCTGTTAAGATGCATTAGTGCACGATCAGATTAATTTCTAATTTCATTGATTGCATCCTCTCTTTTTCAATGTGGTTAGTTCAAGCATGTTTCCAACTTAGTGACTTATGATAGCATAAAAACGTTATTTAGCAACCAAAAGTGGACTAGCAACAAATCCAATGAGAAATAAATGAAAATTAGCAACTAAAATAGCATTTTTAAGAATAAAACTCCATATTTCATCTTTTTTAAACTTTAATGGAAAAAAAAAAGAAAGAAATCATAATTGCATGACTGAGTGCAAGTTGAATTCCATTATCTGTGCCATATCATTAGATTCAGACATTACCTTTTTGCCTCATTAAAATTTGATTTCAATAAAAATATAAATATTTATTTTTTTAATTTCAGGTTAAATCATCAATATTCCATAGAAATCAAAAGCACCACTTTTATTAGAAATGGTAAATGGATTACTTTACACAATGTTTGACAGAAAATGTTGCTGTTTAATTTGTAATTTGTCTATAGCAATTCATTAAAAAATAATAATAATAATTCATCACAACAGACCTGACAACTTTCATTGACAAATGCAGTAAGATCACTTGTATAATAGACATCTCTATTCCAAACACTTATAACATGAAAAATGCACACACTGAAAAAATAAACAAGTACACTCCACTCACCCAAGAAACAAGACAATGTGGAGGATAGATAAGGTATTTATTGTACATACCTGTTATCCTCTCTTCTAGTGGTGTTACTCAGGTCTAGAAACATTAAACCTTAATAAAAACATACACAGCACTACAGAAAACTACAATATTGAACACACGTCGCATTGTTAGGAAGTTTCTAAATGTTGATACATATACTAATAACATAGAAGCTTGATGTAACACTTATTTGGGTAGTTATACCTCGACTTTAGTCCTGCATAGCACCTGGCAACAAAACATGTTTTTAAGAGCAATAACCAAGCTGATATCAGTCACTGTTGCTTCTTTAAAAGTGTCATTTATTAGTCAACACACACAAAAAAAAAAAAAAAAGCCATTTAGCAATGGGGAGTTAATAAAGGAATCATTTCTTTCATCAGCAGAATCTAATTTCTTTTCAAAAATAAATAATTTCTAAAATCAAAGATTTACAACTTTCCACAACAAAATTTAATGTCAGGCATTCACTTGGGTGATGCGTTTTCATTATAACTTGATGAATCAAACAATTTCATTGATACTGCTTACTTAATGGTATTTATTCATATGATATTTCAAGATTACTCAAGTAAAGAAGAACTCGTAAAAATAATACCGTTATTAAGGAAAACAAGAAGATATTTTGTGGCATTTGATAAATTTGTGAAATAATATCAACTTCCTCTTTTTAGTTTCTATTAACTACTGATGGGGGTGGTGCAATGGTAGGTCCCAAATCAGGCTTCATTTCATTCTGTAAGAATGACGACAAATATCCATTTTTTTAAAACTATTATTGTCTTATCAAACAGCAAGTCTTGTGCAATGATAGATTAAATACAAAACATGTTTTGGCTGTTTTACATTTAAATTTATTTCTCTGTTCAAGGAAAAGCAGCTGATGACTATTATTCAAATTACAAACTGATGATGATGACAAAGAACTTCTGTTGTACAATATTTGTTGGCTATGCAGAAGTAAATTTATGGAAAAATTTCGTGTGTCAATTAATGATTAAGGAGCAGAACTTTAAATAAAAGCATTTTTTTCCAGGTTTCCAGGCTATATTTTTTTTTAAATATACAGCAATAAATTTTAATTTTGACTTGGCAACATTAGAACTGTAACTTAGGATGAAGACAAGATCATTTAGTGTAAAGTTCAATCCTTTGTTGTGGAAAATTTTTTTTATAATTTTGATTATTTAAATAATTTCTGAGCTGATGAGAGATACAAGTAAGTATTGAGGAAAAAATCAGTAGTTCTCAAAAGAAAACAAAAACTATTTAGTTAACCATTGTTTTAATTGAAACTACTGTAAAATTTAATGAATGAATAGATATCAAATAAATGAATACACATTATATGGTGTAGTGTTTTAGTTCTTTTACATGTGTTTCTATTACTAATTTTAATGGAATACTAAGACATATATTTCATATTTTCACATAACCTAAAGTTTCTCTCCTTATTAATGATATAAAAAATGTTCTTCATGAAAGAGAAATATTTATTTGCAACTGAGTGATAAAAAGTAGTAATTAGATTTATCATTTTTAGTAATTTCTGTATAAAACTATGTAATTTAACTTTAGAGTTGCAAGGAAAAAAAATTTTAATTGATATGTTAACTTCTATAAGAACTTTCCAGCAATACTTACTTATATTGAAGAAAAACATGACGACTATGAATTTAGATATTTCCAAAACTTGATGTTCTTCAATGAAAATCCCAACGTGGTTCATTGTAACTTCAAAGAATTTATACAGTGGGTGATCAGTTAGCGAACAGTTTGGACAATGAACACTTTCGCAAAAGATTTTTATGTTCAGACAACGAACACCTCACAGAACAAACACAAAAAGCAACGCTGTGTTTAAGATTTGTAAAACTGTATTTTAATGGCATCTATATATGGTTTATGGAACGAGACTTTTACAGTTGTATACATACCTTTTTTGCACTAGTTAATTTCTGTTCTCTGAATTTTTGTAAGTGCTTTTCTGAACTTTTATTTAAAAAACTGATATTATGGGAACTAAAAAAAGTAGATTATCAAGAACTGTGTTCACTATAAAAACTAAACAAGAGATACTGTAATAGCCAAGGTAGAAAGTGGGCAGAAAATGTCTGATATTATAGGTAGATGACTTCAGCAGGTCTACAGTAGATAAATCTTAGTTAAGAAAGTTATAATCAAAAAGACTCGAGATGATAAAAGAGTAATGAAAATCACATCTGAGAAACAAAGATGTGCCATCCATGAAAAAATGAAGAGTGTGCTTTTACTTCGTTATTACATGTAAATAAACATAGTAAGAAAGTATATAAAAATTATTTATTTTTGTGGGTTTGATTAATTCCCACAAAAATCAATAATCAGTTAACAAACAATTTGAATAGCAAACATAGTCTTGGCGCGGATTATGTTCGTTAACCAATCACCCACTGTATATAAAATAGAAATAGTTGAAAACAAAATTAAAAATCACGGTTTACAGATTTTAATGACACTAAACTGATTGTCTCCTTTATCAATAATCTAAATATCACAGAAGTTTCAAATAAAACTGCTCAATTATTTGATGCAAACTAAGAAGTAGAACTTGAAATAATCAACACTCAAAATAATTCTTGATTTATTGATTTCAAACATAAAAGTATTTGGAAACTAAATGAGAATGTCCAATATTAACCAAAGTTGATGTTGGTTAATATCAACTTTGATTGAATACTGACTGGCATTTAATACTGCCAGTGTCAGTATTTATGAAATTTAAAACATTAAATTGAAATCTTTAATTAAATATCCATATATTAAATATTTGGTTACTTAAAATTTTTATTTTGTATTCTATATTCCTGAAAATAAGTATTTGCTCAAGAATATTATGGTAACAATAAGGGTCAGTCCAAAGAAAAGTGGGACTTTATGTAAAATTCTCACATGGGGCCTTGCAGAAAGATCATGTAACTTTTTTTTTATAGCCCAGGTAAGTGTAGGGCCCTGTGCCAGTGCATCATTTGCACTACTCTTGAGATAACCCCAGTAACAATATTTTAAGTATACATAAAGCAGCTTTAAACAAATATCTTTTTTATTAATGTTGTCTTCAGAGACTTTTCCAAGGAGGGGATAAAGTATGGAGAGAAATAATTAAATCAATAAATTTTTATTGTGAGAGTTACACCTTGACCTTGCTCACTTTTACAGCAGCTTGTTGTACAAGTTACAAATGTTTTTGGCTGTTTTGAGATGCCAGCCTCAAATTGTTCTCGTTTGAACTTCATCAAAATTTCAAATCATTCAAATTTTCATTCAGAGAGATTTTCTCTTTGAAAATTCAAAATTTTAACGAAGCTCAAAACAAGAGAACAATCTGTGACAGGCTTCTCAAAAAGCCAAAAAACATTTAACTAGTATAACATTCGGATGGAAAGTGAGCACATGTATCACAATAGTTGGTTCTAGAATTCATAAAAATTTAATACAAAAATGAGTTATTTAATTTTTTGAGTTTTTTTTTCATAAGTAGATTAGAGAGACAATAGTGAAGTTGCAGCCGAAGTTTTAATCTCTAAAATGTAAACATCGAGCGGTACTTATAAGATAGCAGCACTTGAAATTCATGTTTTACAGATGAAAACTTTGGCTGCAACCTCACTATTGCTTCAACACAAAAACATATAAGGTTACATATCTCAATCACTTTTACAATTATAACTTGTGGAACTTGTCCTTATTTTAAGTATTATAAAAAAAAATATTTACAAGAACCTTACAGTCTTACTTCACTTAAGGACTTGTTACATTAAGGAGGAGCACACAAACACTAGAGGACAACAAATGTCGTTTTCTAGTTTTTGCACGTTCCTTCTCCTTGATTTTTAAAACAAATAAGATTTTTTGTAATTTTGTCGTAAAATAATTTTAAATAGTTATTTGGCATATGAATCGGGTCCGAAACAACGAATAACTATATACGGATTTGCATTACAATCCGTATGTATATCCGAAAAATGCTTGTCAAATTCTAGTTTTCGTGCGCTCTTTCTCTTTGATATAACAAGTCCTTAAATGAATTAAGGTACCTGTAAATACTTTTTTTACAATAATTTGTGGATTTTTTACTCGATTCAGGGAACAAGCAACCAGTTTTCTCCCTCCGCCAAAACCCTTAATTTGTTTAAGTTACAGCAACGCAACACTCGGGCGAGCATAGGGGGATGCCTTCCGGGAGGTCTTTTTAAGGGTAACCGGCCCCTATTTGGGCATTACAGAGGTGGAGAAAATCCGGAAAACTCCACTCGGCCAGTCTGTCCTGGCCAGGCACAAAACCCACAACTGAACTTCCAGTTTTCGGAGAACAAAACCGTTCAGCCACCGGTGGGCGTCCTCTAATTTGATTACAGTTTATAAATAACGGACTTACGAACTCAAAAATAATAAATATGAAAAAATAAAGTAGTCGACCCCCCTATAACACTGTTGATTTTTCCGTTTTATATGAATTCCATGTTGTACGAGTCACTTAGATTTTAAAAATGCGTGAGCCGTTCATAGCCTGGCACACGTATTTGTGAAATCTAAGTGACTCGTACAACATGGAATTCATATAAAACGGAAAAATCAACAGTGTTATAGGGGGGTCGACCGTAAATACACTTTTATTCCCAAAATAATTAACGTAAATATACTACTTATTTGTTAACACTTATTAATATGACTTGCATGTACTGAAATTTATTACAAATTAACATATTTATTTTATATTAAAACATTATTTAAATTCCAAATATATATATATATATATATTTCAATTAATCTATGAAGATTGAATAGGGCTTTGACAATTACAGCTGTTTATACGGCGTTAGAGTTAAATTAAAAAGACTTACTGTTTTCTTCGATGGCTTGAAGCAATTCGTTTTTAACGGCATTGTTAGTTGCATCAAACGAAAGCAAAAATTTTAACTGAGCTAAATGTAAATTTGGATTTTTAGCCAAACTTTGTTCCTCTAAATTCTCGACCGGCATGTTTGCGATGATTTAGCTGTATTCGATTAGTGTTGCCAACTGGAAAATGAAATAAAATTAAATAAATAAATATATATATTTTTTTATTTTAAAAATAACATGTAAATTTATATTTTATTTTCTACAAAGAAAACTTTTTTTATCTAATTCAATTTAAATTAATAATATTTTATTAACTTTATATGTCACCCGAATATGTTGGGCCCCGTCCCTCATCACCCGACCGCGCCCATTATGGGGCTGGCCGAACCCATAATGGATTCGCTAAGAGTCCCTCTTAGTGCCCGCAAGGTGGAAAGAGTTAAAAGGAAAAAATAAGTCTACTTTTTTTTGCCCTACGGGCACTAAGAGGGCTTTTTAATTAATCAAACACGTCGTGGGTTCTGTTTGGTTTAGTTCGTGTACGGCAACGCAACACGGGCGATCTGCCTAAAGAGAATGCTTTTCGGGATGTCTTTTATGGGAAATTAGCACTATTTAAGTGTTACTAACGTGAAGAAAACTCTGAAAATTCCATTTGGCCAGCCCGTTGGCCAAACGCGAACCCATGACCTGTGTTCGGTGGTTTTAGCAGTGGCCGAGTGGCCTTTTTTATTTTTTTATTGCCACGAACAGGTGTTCAGACAGCCAAGACGTCGTCTGTACACCTGGACGTCTCCCACTAAAACTCACCGGAAAAAGATCGATTATGTCCTATGTGACCAAAAATGGCAGAACTCAGTTTTGTCGACAAAGACGTTTCCAGGAGCTGACTGTGGATTTAATCATCAGTTCTTGGTCGCCAAATTTAAGATACGTCTTGGAAAAATAAAAAAGCTCTTACTGGTGCAGAAGTTCGATGCCGAAAGAATTCCATCTACATATGCGGTCGACATCAGTAATCGGTTTACACTGCTGGACACTGTTGAGCAACAACCAAATGATCTATGGGAAAAAAAATTACTAAAAAATGCATTATCACCGTGACCACCAAGCGTTATGTCACATACGAAAAACCTACAAAGAAGGCCAAATGACTGTCGGCAACGACCATCGAAATCGCAAAGAGATGTCGCGCAGCCAAAGCCGCTGGTAACTAAGATGTATTCAGAACGTTAAATGCGGAATTCCAAAGAGAAGCGAGGAAGGACAAAGAGAGATACTGGAATGAACGGTGTGCGGAATTGGAAAAAGAGAACAGACATGGTCACACTTGAGGTTTATTCAATTACGTGAAACGGATGAGGACGACGTTTACACCGCAGAAGGCGCCAACAATCAAACTGGCAAAGAATTGCAGGAGCCGGAAGAGATCAAGCAGAGATGGCGAGAGTATACGGCGAATCTGTATGCAAATAACACGGGAAACGAACATCAATTGAGGAAGTTTTAACAGAGCGGGAGCCAGATATCCTTGAAGAAGAGGTCTCATGGGCATTGAAACAATTGTCGAATAGAAAAAGTCCGGGTATTGACGACTTACCAGCGGTGTTGCTGAAGCCGGTGACGATTTCTGTTTTGACAGTGCTTGATTTGGAGGACAGGGATATGGCCGAAGGATTAGGTTAGGTTCATCTTTGTGCCGCTACCTAAGAAAGGCGATGCTCGTGAATGCTCTAATTTTCTCACAATCGCCCTGATTCCGCATGCAAGCAGATATTACTGAAGATCATACAGAAGCGTATATCACCGCCATAATTGAGAGAAAATTGCCGATGTCAGAGTCGGTAGATTAACTGGTCTTTCGACTTCCTATCTTCGCTCGTTGCTAGAATCAACTAGAGACAAATGTTACCACCAGGGGCACTGCAATCACTACAAGACCGCTAGATCGAATCCCTGTGAGGTCGAATGTTTTCTTTTTATTGAAAGATATATAACCTTCGAGTTCGATTTCATAATTTTTTATATGCATTTTATTATAAGAATGAAAAAGCTTTTATTTAAACCCAAAACCAGGTTTATGGATAAATAAATGACACTTAATAAAACATTAAACACCTTC